CTGGAAACCAAACCGAAAGAGCCAAAGTAGTTTTGTTACATTTTAATGAGACATCAACTTTTCCAATCTAATTATATTTCAATATCTATAATCCATATTCATAATCATTTTGCCACTGATTATACAACCATGGTTCACGGTATTACATTTACCCACTGTACAGCTGGAATCTGATCCATTTTGTCCAAGACTTCAGTTTTCACGGAGAACCAAAGCAACAGGAGTGGGCATTCAGGCTGTCGCAAAGCATACTGTCTTTCAGTTACGCAATTAAGTCTCTTGATAAGAGAAAATAAGAAAGGACACACATATTCTACCCAAATGAGACAATTCATGATGAAACTTGATTCAAGAACAGCAATGACAGTTTCTAGAATCTCAAATCCTTACCATCCTGGCCTTTGACCTTCACTGAAAGGAGTCATGCCTAGAAATGGGCTTAGGAGGTACCAGAGGGCAACTATAAGATTCCCTAATACAAAACCCTCCAGGGACGCCTCACAATGGGGGAAACTGGAGATTCCCATCTACTTCAGTTGTGTGTGTATGTATACACACACACACACACATATACACATATGTCAAGATCAAGGCAGAACAATTCCAAGGATCGTGGCCCTAAAGGAAATGCCTAACAGTAAACCCAAGGCTACTTCATTTCAAGGCCTTTCCCTCTATAGGATTGTCTATATTACTGGTGATGAGGAAGAATATTCCAACTTTGTCCAGAAGACTCTACTTAAACACAGCTTTGGCCTTGTGCATGAAACGGTTAGCAAAGCAGGCCTGAGACGACCATCCTTAGAAGGTTGCTTGCAGGGTTGGTCCTTGGTGGACATCTGGGTTTCCCAGGTGTTTCTAGTCAACAGTTAACTGGTTAAGAGTGGTTCAGTGTACCTAGACTGTTTGTGCAAACAATGTGGTTGATGCTCAGTAAACACCTGCTTTCTTTCTGGGAGTCTAGAATCTCAGTAATCGCCAGGTAGAACACCCGTGTAAATACCTTAGGTGCTGTGTCCACAGTCGACTTTCCTGCTGTTTTCCAAGCCAGGGGAAGAGGGAGCTCTGAGTAACCCTCAGGAGAGGGAGGGCATAGGAAGTCTACACCTGGATCCCTCCAGACTCCACTTGGGTCTTTATCGCTTATGATGCAGCTTGTATCCTTACCATGTCCCCACACAAACCTTAGCCCTGAGTACCACCAGCTAGGTCCCATAATTTCTTCTGCTAATCTCACAACTTAGGGGTGGGTCCTGAGGTCCCTTGAAACCCAGACATTTATACAGCAACCCCCAGTTTTTAAAATTATAACTATGGTAAAAATCCCCATAAAGTTTACCATCTTAGCCATTGTTAAGTGTACAGTTCAGTGGCATTAAGTGTATTCACAGTGTGTTACCATCAACACCATTCAACCACAGAATTCATTTTCCCAAACTGACTCTCCATACCCATTTAACAACTCCCCATTCCCTGACCCCGCAAGGCCTGCAACCACTATTCCTTCTGTCTCTGTAAATTTGATACTGTAGGTATTTCACATACATGGAACCAAACAGTATTTGTCCTTCTGTGACTGATTTCACTTAGCATCATGTTCTAAAGGTTCATCCTTGTTGCAGCAGGTGTCAGCACTACTTCATACCTTTTAAAGGCTGAATAACATTCCACATGTGGATATACCAATTTTGTTTATTCATTCATCTGTCAGTGGACACTTGGGTTGTTCCCACCTCTTGGCTACTGTGAATAATGCTGCTATGAACATGGTTGCACAGATCTCTCTGCAAGTCTCTGCTTTCAATCCTTTTGGATATACACCCAGAAATGGAATTGCTGGATCATATGACAATTCTAGTTTCCGTTTTTGAGGAACTGCCACACTGCTGCCCACAGAGGCTGCACCATTTGACATTCCCACCAACAGTGCACAAGGGTTCCAATTTCTCCACATCCTTGCCAAAACTTATTTTCTGGGGTTTTGTTTGTGTTTGATAGTAGCCATCTTAATGGGTGTGAGGACCCCAAAATATTCTAACTATTAGTTGCAACTTATTTGTATTTTGAGAAATTAAGGGATTTATTGTATGCAAAAAACCAACCAGCCAATCAACCAAAACTCCCAGAGAAAAGAAACCCCTGGTGTAAACAACCAAAGCCCAGGTTTCAAGGTTCTCAAGCCTTTCGGCATGTGGAAACTCAGTGTGGAAGGTCTTCTTCTTACTCACAGAGAAACCATCTGTGACTCAGTAAAGGTGGCTCAAGGTCTAAGCCAAATTTCAATATATACCATATGAAATTTTCAGTGAAAGAGCAGTATACCCATATTTACATGTATCCACACCCATGTGAAGCCAAGCTAAGACCTTTGCTTACCTGGAGACATTAAGACAAAATTATATGACAGTACTTATAAATATAAAAACTAAACTCTTTATTTCATTGCCACATTTCAATTTTAACTCAAATAATGATGAACATTTAAGAATTGAGCTTAATATTACCAGCCATCTAAAGAGCCCACCGAGATGAACACTATTATAGACATAAAAACTGAGTGAAAACAAAACCCTATAGAACAAAAAACGTTGAGTACAGAACTTAAAGTGAATAATACAGCATGTAGCAGCGGGAGGCAGTCCGGCAGTCATGCATGCACCTCACTCCATTGCACTTCCCTTTTGACAGGAGTTACCGGGAATCCTACAAGTGGTGCTAAGATGCTATGGCTTCTTTGGAGGAAAGTACTCAGGGTCATTAACAGAAGCCTTCTAGCCTCTCCCAGCCTAGTGTTTTGCAGCTCCATTATGAACAATCAGAGAATAAGAGAATGAGGGATGCGGGACTACAGGACCCACTTCTCAGCTTAAGTGTAAGACAGGTTAAGTCTGGTGTGATGAGCACCCTTGTAAGATGACACCAAGGCCCCTGGACTCTGGCGCTCACTGCCTTGTGTGGCCTGGAATTAGTGACTTGCATCTAACAATGAGAACACACAAAAGATGGGATGCCGCTTTCCCAACATTAAGGTGTCAAAGACTGTGACTTCTGTCTTGCTATCACTCTCTGGCTTTTATGGCCTGCTTCCTTTGATGAAGCAGCTGCCACGTTGTGAGCTGCCCTGAGGACAGCACCATGTAACAAGGCACAGAGGGTGGCCTTCAGCCAACAGCCATGAGAAGTTACAACCCTTAGCCCAACAGCCTACGAGGAACGGATTCCTGCCAACAGCCACCTGAGTGAGTGGGACAGCTATACATGGAACCAAACAGTATTTGTCCTTCTGTGACTGATTTCACTTAGCATCATGTTCTAAAGGTTCATCCTTGTTGCAGCAGGTGTCAGCACTACTTCATACCTTTTAAAGGCTGAATAACATTCCACATGTGGATATACCAATTTTGTTTATTCATTCATCTGTCAGTGGACACTTGGGTTGTTCCCACCTCTTGGCTACTGTGAATAATGCTGCTATGAACATGGTTGCACAGATCTCTCTGCAAGTCTCTGCTTTCAATCCTTTTGGATATACACCCAGAAATGGAATTGCTGGATCATATGACAATTCTAGTTTCCGTTTTTGAGGAACTGCCACACTGCTGCCCACAGAGGCTGCACCATTTGACATTCCCACCAACAGTGCACAAGGGTTCCAATTTCTCCACATCCTTGCCAAAACTTATTTTCTGGGGTTTTGTTTGTGTTTGATAGTAGCCATCTTAATGGGTGTGAGGACCCCAAAATATTCTAACTATTAGTTGCAACTTATTTGTATTTTGAGAAATTAAGGGATTTATTGTATGCAAAAAACCAACCAGCCAATCAACCAAAACTCCCAGAGAAAAGAAACCCCTGGTGTAAACAACCAAAGCCCAGGTTTCAAGGTTCTCAAGCCTTTCGGCATGTGGAAACTCAGTGTGGAAGGTCTTCTTCTTACTCACAGAGAAACCATCTGTGACTCAGTAAAGGTGGCTCAAGGTCTAAGCCAAATTTCAATATATACCATATGAAATTTTCAGTGAAAGAGCAGTATACCCATATTTACATGTATCCACACCCATGTGAAGCCAAGCTAAGACCTTTGCTTACCTGGAGACATTAAGACAAAATTATATGACAGTACTTATAAATATAAAAACTAAACTCTTTATTTCATTGCCACATTTCAATTTTAACTCAAATAATGATGAACATTTAAGAATTGAGCTTAATATTACCAGCCATCTAAAGAGCCCACCGAGATGAACACTATTATAGACATAAAAACTGAGTGAAAACAAAACCCTATAGAACAAAAAACGTTGAGTACAGAACTTAAAGTGAATAATACAGCATGTAGCAGCGGGAGGCAGTCCGGCAGTCATGCATGCACCTCACTCCATTGCACTTCCCTTTTGACAGGAGTTACCGGGAATCCTACAAGTGGTGCTAAGATGCTATGGCTTCTTTGGAGGAAAGTACTCAGGGTCATTAACAGAAGCCTTCTAGCCTCTCCCAGCCTAGTGTTTTGCAGCTCCATTATGAACAATCAGAGAATAAGAGAATGAGGGATGCGGGACTACAGGACCCACTTCTCAGCTTAAGTGTAAGACAGGTTAAGTCTGGTGTGATGAGCACCCTTGTAAGATGACACCAAGGCCCCTGGACTCTGGCGCTCACTGCCTTGTGTGGCCTGGAATTAGTGACTTGCATCTAACAATGAGAACACACAAAAGATGGGATGCCGCTTTCCCAACATTAAGGTGTCAAAGACTGTGACTTCTGTCTTGCTATCACTCTCTGGCTTTTATGGCCTGCTTCCTTTGATGAAGCAGCTGCCACGTTGTGAGCTGCCCTGAGGACAGCACCATGTAACAAGGCACAGAGGGTGGCCTTCAGCCAACAGCCATGAGAAGTTACAACCCTTAGCCCAACAGCCTACGAGGAACGGATTCCTGCCAACAGCCACCTGAGTGAGTGGGACAGCAGGTCCCCCACTAGTTGAGCCCAGCCAACACCCTGACTGCAGCCTCGTGACATTCCCTGAGCAGAGGACCCGGGCTAGCCACCCCGAGATTCCTGACCCACAGACAGTGTGAGATGATAAATATGTGTTGTCCTAAGTGGCTAAGTTTTGGGGTAATTTGTTATACAGTGTTACCTGGGTAAATATTAATGTGCTTAGAGAGACAATAAAGTCACTGATGTTAATTCTGAAATAGTACTTGCAAATTATTTATATAGGAACAGCTAACAACAGTTTACTCTACTTCAAAAAAGACAACCAAAACTTTACAACCTGCAACAAAAGGGTTTAGTGCTCCACACGAAGGAAATTTCTCTAAGGATCCTAGCTGACTGCACTTGCCACAAAGTCTGAAAATCACACACTACTGAATTTTTTTGAACTTTTAAGACAACTGAAATTTCCAAATTTCTAGCAGGTTTTTAAAAACCAATGGAAAACAAGGTATAGCTTGTCCTATGATTAAATGTACTTTGCCATAAAACTCACGCGTACAGTTAAATATCACATTTAAAAGTGAGCTCTCCCATTTATGTGACATGTCCCAAACAGGCAAATACATAGAGACAGAAAGTAGGGCCAGGCCAGCCAATGGGGAATGACTGCTGTCCAGCAGGGGGTTTCTTTTTGGAGTGACGAAATGTTCTGGAATTAGATCCAGGTGATAGTTGTATACCTTTGTGAATATACTGAAAATACCACTAAGTTGCACACTGTAAAATAGTGACTTTTATGGTTTCTGGATTGTATGTCAATTAAAAAAGAATTTTAAGAAACCTCTTATGGAGGAAAGTTAACATTTCAACTTAAACATCTCCCCAGTTACACCCCATTCCCAGATACATGGAATGGCACCTGCTATGCGACAGCAGCCTGATACCACAGCTCAGATCTCACTTTTTTTTGCCTTGCATTGCATCTTTTGGAAAATTACTAACAAAAATCCTCCCCTAGTATATATTTTTTAAGTGTGTTTTTGTTCATTTATATGTATTAGATTCCTGCTTTTAAGACTTAAGACTTAAGACAATTTTTATCTCATCTTATAATACTTAAGTCACTCCTTGCTCTGAACAAGATAAGAAAATTAAACAAAATATCTATAGAGGAAGAAAGTGCGTATCTTTTCAAATATAGTGTTCTGCTTCAGCGTCTTGTGATTTATTTAAATGTCATTCCCAGACACATATGTGGAGTGGCATATGCTTCCTGTTATTACATAGTAACACATACTCCACACCCAGCAAGAATAGTTATATGACATATGGCCTAGTGTTTTGAATCAAGGCAGGATCTCTCAATGAGAACAGGAGGTGGAGGAAAACATTTACCTTCTGTAACATGATTACAGGGAACTTGGGATAGATGAGCTGAAAAACAACATCTTCAAACGATTATAATTGACAGAACAAATTTCCCTTATTCCACTTGTTTTAAATAGCTAATATCTGTAAACTTGCATACCAACTCTGGCAGATTTAGCAGTCTTAATTCTCTGATTTCCCACATTAAATATCATCCAATATACTGTGAGAATGAAAGGTGGCTTCTTCAACCAAGTTCTGTCCTTCGGCTGTGCTGTCTGGAAATGCATACCACCTCACAGATGCCCCGGATCAAATACTTCGGTAGTCAGAGCCTCGGGCCACAATGGTGGCAGCCCACTCGACAGCGAAGAACGAAACAGTTCCCAAAAACCCAAAGATCACCATGACCAGGAGTTGCCAATGAAGGAGAAGGTAGTTACTGTAGAAAAATGCCACAGCTGCACAAATGGACTAAGAATAAACAAACAAAACAAATCATAAAATTCAGTGACCCAACAGCTCCATGTCAGCCCCACCACTCTCTGACCAAGGCTGTCTGTGACTGGCAGTGCCCTCTGCTCCTTCTGCAACTGGACAGGACTCCCGCAGTCACTAGCTCACAAACATGCACCATTACGCCTGTTGAGAGCTGATATCAAGAAAACTACAAGCTCGTAGTATTTTGTGAAAAATCAAGTAATAAAATAATGTACACATACAGTGAGAAATACACTTGTCTACATTACAAATGAATTCTGGTATCTAAGGAAGGAAGCCTCTCATCTCAGCTCTAGAGACCAGAGCATAAAATCTTTAACACAAGTGGGGAGGAAAAAAATCACACTGTTTCCTAAACTGAATCCCAAGTCCTTTAAAGGAAGTCTCTGTCTTTCACTTAAGAAACATTAAGAAAATGAAGTTTAAGCACTAGGAAGAAAGGGTCCCACACTAAACACAATCTGAAGAAATGATTACCTGAACAAACTTGAAGACTGCAAAGGCTGGGGCACTGTCTTCAGAATAGAGAAAACCTAAAATGCTAAGCAGTTGGGTGTTGAAGCAGCTGTCTCCAAGACCCAGCAGGAAACTGCAGAAGATGGCAACTTCTTTGCTGAATAAAATAACAATTCATTTAGAGTGAGTATGCCAATGATATCGGTTAGAGCTTTTTAAAATGTAGATGCGGCTCACCCACAAAAGCACTTTACTTTCAGGTTTTAAACACTATGAAACAAAAATAAATGAATACCAAAATCTACATAGTAAGAATTTATGCTCAAACATCCTCACCTTCAGTCTAACAGACTCTGATCCAACTATTTGGGAAGCCAACACTGTGTTTTCGGCAGGGCTGCCCTCGTACTGTGGATCTAGGCATAAATGTCTCTGTCTATCATGAATTTGAGAGGTGAGTGCAGTAAAATAATATCCTCGAAACTTACACAGCGAACCGTGAGAGGTCTGGAGGGCCCGCCCACAGGCAGATTACCCCTCACTCCTCGCTGCTTTTCCTCAAGGTCCTGACTTCTCGAGATGTCATTGCTCTTTCACTGTCACTCACGTGCTCTTTCATAGATCAAGAACAAGACTTAGTGGGGAGCGAGGTTAAAACCAACAGTTACAAAAGTAACTTGGGATTCTCTATGGATTCCTATTTAAACTCATTCTGGCTCCTTTAACACTTGACAAATGATCTTATAAGGATAACAGACTCTCATAAAAGGATTAACTGCTCCATTTTCAATACCCAGCCATCAGTAACTTCCCGCCATTCCTTCAACTAGAGAAACGTGACCATCACTGTACCTGGATTTGATGTAAGCACTGCTGTCAGTTCCTCCAACAGGGGCGACAGGGGCATCCCCAGGCATGTTGAGAAATATTAAATAAAAAGCTACAAAATGCACCAGGATGCCCAACAGCACAACTGGATTTCTCCCAAAACGATTGTTCTTGCTCAGTAGGCCGAAGAGGCTGCCACCTATAAAGTCAGTGAAGTAGAGAACAGGAAAACTCAAGGTCAAGTTATTATATCAAAACATGGTTCTCTGAAAATATAAATACAATGGACAGACCAATAGCCGATTCAATCAAGACAAAAAACCCACAAATAGACAAAATAAGAATTATTGAAACTGAAGAAATTTGAAAAATCTTAAGATTTCTAGGTAAGATGGGGTAACAGGGACTGGATTTACCACTTGCCTTTAAAAATGTACAAAAAATACTAACCAGTGGTTTCGAGGACATCAGGCTATCATTTGATGCTATCAGGCACGGAAGGGCAGGGGCCTCTGAGAGACAGGAAACATGTGGGAAGCCTGATGACCGCCCCGCTGAGCCCCTGGAGAGCAGCAAGAGGGAAGGCGGGTGGAGCCCCGAAGCCTCGTTTGAGGGGACGGGCTGAGAGTCCGGGGATACCAACGTGACTGCAGTCCCCGGGACAGGCTCTCAGAAACGAGAGCTGCACAGAGGCAACTCCAGAGATCTGCACAGGGGCCCCCGAGTCTTCACCGGTGATGAGCACATGACGGGAGTCAATTAGCCAAGGCCCAGGAAAGAACCAGCCAAGAGGTTTACAGGTATTAGTGCCGTACCCGGGGCTGGAAGTAGTGCCTGGTCCCACCGGCCACACTGGGAATCTTATGATTCTCAGGCGCTGGGGGTATACGGAAGGGCCTTCCCCCAGACGTAAGGAATAGTTGGCCCTGAACTGAGCACTACTCCAGTTCTGCCCGACGAATCTTAAAGGCAAGACCTAAAAGGATCACACTGTTTCCAAGTGAATGAATTACATCCAAGAACAGAACTAAGAATAGTTACAGGAATACAAAGCATCCAGCCCCCAGCAGGGTAAAGTCCACAGTGTCTGGTATGCGCCGTATCACCGGGCAGGCGAAAGAGGCAGGAACATAGGACCCATCCTGGGGGAAAAACTGTCAAATGCAGGGGTCATATCACCCAGCAATCCCAGGCCTATATACCCATGTTCACACAAAAACTGTACACAAATGTTCACAGCAGTATTACTCATAACAGCCAAAAAGTGGAGACAACACAAATGTTCATCAAACAATGGATGGATAAAAAAAATATGGCTTATCCATACAACTAAATATTTAGTGTTCAAAAGGAATGAAGTACTGACACACGCTGTAACACGGAAGAACCACAAGCACAGACTTTCACTAAGTCTGGTTTCTTTTGCCAGACATGAGAGACCATATATTGTATAATTCCATTCATAGGAAAAGTCTAGGATAAAGCAATTATAAAAAGAAAATAGATAAATAGTTGCCGAGGGAAGGGTGATGAAAATGTTCCAAAATTAGAGAGTGGCGATGGTCGCAGAACTCTGAATATACTAAAGCCACTGAACTGTGCACTCTGAGTGGGTGAATTACATGGCATGTGAATTATACCTCAATAAAGTTGTAAAAACAAAAAAAAACCCCAGAAGTGTCACAGATGTTGGAATAAGCAAAAACATTAAAACAATGACTATAACTGTATTCCACATGTTCAAACATATAAAGATAGGTCATGAGGTATTGTTCCAGGTGTTGGCGATAAAGCAGGGAACAGAAACTGCCCATGTCTGCTCTCTCCATAGTGCTCAGCATGGTCTGACATCTAAGGTTCCTATGTTTTTTTACTGCCTGTTTTCTTCGCCAAGAACACAAGCTCCATGTGGGCAGGGAGTCTTTTGTTCACACAACAGATGCACAACAAATATTTGTTGAATTCAGAAATTCCTCATCTGACATGATATCTAATATACTGCAAATGTTGAACAAATCTTTGTTGAATAAGGGTAATTAATTTAATATAATAAAAATATGTACTTGTTCTTTGCCTTTTCCCTCTTGCTCCCCACTTTCTGGCAGCACCCTGCCACACACACCCACTCAGAGCTCCTGGATTTCCCGAGGGATAGAAGTCTTGTGTTGTAAGTAAGGAACCGCTTTCATCCACACCGGCATTTGTGCTAGTGAGGTGACTGCTGAAGGAGCCGGGGGTGGCCTTCGATAGCTTCGGGAAGGGGACTGCTTGCTAGGAGGACCAAGCCTTGACTAGAGGGTTGGAACTTTCAGCCCACCACCCCTGGTCTCAGGGGGAGAAGAGAGGGGCTATAGATTTAGCTCAATTCCCAACAGCCAACAATGGAAACACTCATATGACTGCATGATGCAATCTCCATAAGCGCCCTAAACAGGTCTGGGAGGACTTCCCAGCTGGCCAACACATCCACATGCCCGACTCCACAGGGGCAGAGGGACCCTTCCAGACTTTGCCCTATGTATCTCTTCACCTGGCTGCTCATTTATATTCTTTACAATAAACTTTAATAGTAAGTACAGCATTTTCCTGGAGGGTTGTGGGAAGCCCCAAATTCACAGCCAAGTTGGACAGAAGTATAGGTAAGCAGGAGACCCAGGACTTAACGACTGGCATCTGAAGCGATGGCCGTCTTGTGGGACCAGACCCTTGAGGCTGTAAGGTCTGGCTAACGGGTAGTCAGCGTCAGAACTGAACTGCACTGTTGGGGCGCCTGGCTGGTACCAGAGATTCAGACAGCAAGAAAGTCAGGCCGCTCTCCCAAGGTATTTTAAGAGGAAAAGCTGGAAGAGACCAGATGTTTTCCTATTCACACTTCTGTCTGTAAATTATTTGGCAAATAGTTTATAATTTAGTTATCTTAGAACAATGATAATAACTTTTAAAAAGCCACACATTCATTTTGGTAAAAAATAAGCAAGGAAACAAATTCAAGGACCAGGAGGTCAAGTACACTTAAAATGTCTATTATAATGAACTGACTTAATGCAAAAACTTTTTTTAAAACCAACCTAAAATTTCTCCAATGCCAATGAAAATTCCAGAAAGTCCAATGAGGCTTTTCTCATCTGTTCCAAATTTATTTACAGCACCAATACAGGTTCCATATACACCAGAGATGAAAGTCAATTCCAGACCTTTAGAAAAAAAGATTTAAATTGACTATAAATTCACATTCTTTCTGAGCTTTTCTTCATAATTTAAATGAACATAAGATGGTAGGTATTTCAAATTTCAGATAAAAATATACAACTCAAATAAGCAAAGCCATCCCTATGTTTAAATGGTCACTCTGGGTATAGACAGGGATGGGCAGAGGTTATAATTAACATTAAGACTCTGACAGTGAATACAAAGTGCTTATCCTTATGAATAGTGTTCCCGTTTGGAGAACTACTCTTTACTATCCACTTTTGTTTAAAGGCACAGTGTTTTAATTAAGTTAAGTCAGTAGAAGACCCGATTCCTTAGTACTATAAAACTTTAACTGAATCTTAAAGACGTTTAATATTGATTCCATTTCTCCTGAAAAGATGTTAATACCTATGAGGCACAGGAAGGCCAAAGTAATAGCCGGCAAGTACATCACAGCACTTTTTAAAAGGAAACAGATTTCCTCATCATTCTTAAGACCTAAGTGTGCTCCACCTATTACCACATCACACGGTCAGCGGTAAGCCACAGAATGCTCCCTTTTGCCCTAAAGTCACTGGTTGGGATGAACCATGCTTCCCAGTTTTCAAGCCCTTGTGTAGAATGCTCCCACGTTGAATCTGGGCTGACCCTGTGATTTGCTGTCATCAACAGAAAGCAGTGGAAGTGGCTTTGGGCTAATGCCAGACCTGAATTTTAAGAAGGTTCAGTCACTCACTCCTCCCTTTAGCCCTTTTAAGAGCACTTGGCCACTAAGTAATATGGCTGTCCTGCTGGGTCAGGAGGGGATCATGTGGGAGGAGGTCATGCAGCTGGAGAGACAGGAGCCCAGTGGTACCTCTGAGCCCTTCAGACATGCAAATGAAATTCTCGGGATGTTCCAGTCTTCATCCCCCTAAACGGCACCCACAAGAGACCCCAATCAAGACCATCAGAAGCACTGTTCAGCTGAGCCCAGGTCAATGCACAGAATTGTGAGAAAGGATAACACAGTTGTTATTTTTGACCCTTACATTATGCAGCAACAGAAAACCCAAACCGTAATTAATTAATCCCATTACCTGTATAAGCAGTTGTAATACTGAGAAGGAGCATCTCCTTGGTGACACATAACTTAACAGACTTTTCTGTGAAAAAGAAAACAATGTAGGAGTACTTAAATTTTAATTAATCAAACAAAAATTCTAAAACTCTAAAACTTTATTCAACCAAATACCCCTTGTCAGTAATGCCAGCAAACAAATACTTTGGGACAGAGGTAACTGATTCAGATTAAAATGCTTAAGGTATGAATAAATCTGCCATACAAATGTTTATTTCAACTGCTTAAGTATATTCCAGAGTCATGCTTTCTCCATCACATTCTCCACCTCTAATTAAAAAAAACAATAAATAAGAGAAAAGAAATAGGATCAAACAAAACAACAGAGTATTTCAACAGACTTCACTAAAGACTAGGCTATTAAGGGAGTCAACCGTTGGCAAGGTGCTAACTTCCCTAAAGAATTATCTAAGAGTACCTTTAAGACTAGACTTAACACCAGAATCACTGGTGTTTCCAACCACAATGAAGCTGAAGGCACCACTTCCTGGGATTCTCAACCCTCTGGACCTGAAACTTTAATTCTTCATATTTGTTTGTGATCACTCCAAAGTCTGTTTTCATGCAGGTCCATTTAGTTAAAATATGCAATGGAAATGCATCTGTAAAAACCTCACATTTTAACTCTTTTTGAGCCTGCTCAAATGTTAAGGTCACTAATTAGTGTCACTAATCTAGTATCCCAAATTAACAGAAGGTCCAGATTTTGGTTCTTATTCAACTTCTGACTGACTACAAAACTTAACTAAGTCATAAACACTCTGTCCTGAATTTCTCCATATATCAAATGATACTTTTTTCTCTAATTACACTGAAATATAATGAAACTAAATGCAGTAAGATATTTTCACCAATTATTTGCATGTATTTCTAGGAAAAAAATACATGATCAATACAAAGTTCTAAACAGTATTTTTAATTTTAAAAATTAAATTAGCAAGGCATGTTTGCTTTGAATAATCAGAAGATCTGGCTAACAAAAAGAAATTTTAAAGCATGATTTCATTTGATACATTTGTCCAAACCCATTAAACGTACAGCACCAAGACTGAGTCTTCATGTAAACTATGGACTCTGGGTGATTATGTGTTAATGTACCTTCATCAGTTACAACCAATATACCATGCTGGTGGGGGACACTGATAATTGGGGAGGCTGTGCATGTGTGGGGCCAGTAGGTCTATGGCAAATCTCTGTACCTCCCTTTCAATTTTGTTGCGAACCTAAAACTGCTCTAAAGAATGAAGTCTACTTAAAGAAAAACACATTATTTATTTGCAGAAATTTACAACTGATCTTAAAATTCATATGGAAATTAAAGGGACCCACAGTAGCCAAAGCAATCTTGAAAAAGGACCAAAGTTGGAGGATTCACTTTCCAATTTCAAAACTTAAACAATCAGTATAGCATGGCACTGGCATAAAGAGAGACATCTATGTCTAGAAATAAACTCTTATATTTACAGTCAATTGATTTTCAACAAGGGTGTCAACACAATTCATTGGGAGAAGAGAACAGTCTTTTCAGCAAATGGTGCTCGGACAACTGGACAGCCGCATACAAAAGAATGAAGCAGGACTCCTACCTCACAACATATACAAAATCAACTCAAAATGGATCATAGACCTAAATGTAAGAGCTAAAACTGTAAAACTCTTAGAAGAAAATGTAGGAGTAATCCTTTGTGACCTAGAGTTAGGTAAAGCCCTCTTAGGGCACCAAAAGAGCAAAAAACTAAAGCTAAAAGAGATAAATTAGACTTCATCAGAAATTTAGAATTTCTGTGCTTTATAAAAGACACCATCAAGAAAACAAAAAGTCAACCAAAGAATGGGGGAAAATATTTGTAAATCATATATATAAGGACTTTTATCTAGAATATATAAAAGATTCTTACAACTCAATAACAAAAAGACAAATAACCTAATTATAAAATGGGCAAAGGATCTGAATAGACATTTCTCCAAAGAAGAGATGCAAATGGACTCAATCACATGAAATGATGCTCAATGTCATTAGCTATTAGGGAAAAATGTAAATTAAAACCACAAGATACCACTTTACACGTACTAGGACAGCTATAATCAAAGACAGATGATAACACAAGGAAGCAGAGAAACTGGAACCCTCATATAGTGCTGTACAATGTAAAATGGTCCAGCCACTTTGAAAAACAATTCCTCAAAAGGTTAACATACAGATCCCACGTGACCCAGCAATCCCACTACACCTAGGTATATACACACAAGAAATCTAAAAACATATGTCCACAAAAATACTTTGACACAAATGTTTTTAGCAGCATTCATTATTCACTATACCTAAAAAGTAGAAAAAATCCAAACTTTAAAACACGGATAAGCCTTGAAACCATTACACTAAGTAAAAGAAACCTATTATAAAAGACCAGATATGGTATGATTCTATTTACATGAAGTGTCCAGGACAGGCAAATCTATAAAGTAGATTAATGCATACCTAGGGTTGGGGATGGGGTTTGGGGGAAGGAAATGGCAAGTGATTGCAAATGGGTACAGAGATTTTTTGGGGGGCGATGAACAGCTTCTAAAGTGGATAGTGTTGATAGTTGCACAACTGTGAATATACCAGAAACTACTGAATTGTACACTTTAACTAGATGAATTGTACAATATGTGAATTATATCTCAATAAAGCTATTTTATTAAGGAAAAAAACCATAATCTGAAACCTAATGGATCTCCTTCCAGACTTTTTCTATGCTTTTTTAAAAAATAAAAACAAATTCCACCATATATGCTATTTTTTAATTTGTTTTCATATAATAGAGCAAACATTTCCTAATATTCGTCAAGATCATTTTAATGGCTAGGGGAATCTACTGCATAAATGTACTAATGCCTTGTAGTTAAATAGTAAATTACTTTCATTTCCCCACTAATATAAACATCTTAGTAGCTGAGTCTTGACAGAAATTCTTAATTATTTCCTGAGGATAATCGTATCAGTGGAATTGCTGGGGTAAAGGTATAAACATCTTAAGGCTTTTGATCCTTACTGACAAATCACTTCCAGCAAGTAATAAAAGTCTATATTCTTATCAGCCTATGGTCTTCCATATGTTAGTATCTACTTGCTATAACATTGAGAATTATTTTTTATCTTTGAAATTTTGATAAGACAACTTTCAAATCTGCATTTCTTGCAGTTACGTCATAATAATCTTTCTGTTTGTAAAACGCCTATTTTCTACTGGAGTGTTTATACTTTACTTACTGGATCATAACAGCTCATTACCACATACACAAATATTTTCCCTGCCATTTTAACTTTGTTAGGTTGTTTTGATAAACTGAAGTTTTACAGTGTAGGTAACCAAACAGCATTCTTTTCCCTTCTCATTTGACCTGCTTGAAAGGCTTTTCTCTATGCAATTAACTTCTTCAATGAAGTTCTTTTATGGTTTCGTTCCTACACATATTTACCTGGAATTTTCATATGAGATAGGAAGTATGAATCTATACATTTTTCTACATGATCAGTCCCCTAACCTTGCTTACTTAAGAGTCTCTGTTACAGTACAGTGACCCTCGATGGCTTTACTGAAAGTGGCCCTGAAAGGCTGCTTCTCACTAGAGGAGGATCATCACTTCGGGTCGGGGGGAGAGCACGGGAGGTGGAAGCAAAGACCTGGCCCCATCAGGTCTCCTGAGAATCCGAAGCCATGGCTCCTGCTTCTCAAGCAGCCATGCTGGCTCTGCCTGTTAGCTGGGACTGAATCCCAGCCCAACCATGTACTAGCCATTTGGCCTTGAGGAAATAATTTCTCTAAGCCTGTGTTCTCTTCTACAAAATGGAGATCATGAAAGGGGCATGTTATATGATACCCATAGAATTTTTGGAAGAATAAAATAAAACACGCAAAAAGAGCCTTAGCCAGGAAGAACCCTCAACAGATGAGCAGATTGTCCCGACAAACTGCTGGGTCACCAGAGTGCTGGCTCTGCCCTGGGCAGGGACGCGGGGTGCCTAGGAGCTGCTCCGAGCACGCTCACTTGCTCGCATGACCTCCCGACTGGACTGGGGAGCTCTCTGCAGCCTCCCCCTACCCCATGCACCCAACTCGGATAGGGCCGTCAGATTAACATCTCCCTTCAAAGCCCCCATGTTATACAGACATTTATTGAGAAGACGAGTGTATTTCAGAGCAGCATACCTGGAAAAATGAAAAGACGTGTATCGTCAATCCAAAGTTACCAGGGAAAAGGGGAAAGGCAAATGCTGAAATTGTTCCTGAACAGTGCTCACATTCAGACACAGAAAATACTTACTAAATGCATCTACTGCCTTTGTCATAGTGTTCGGGGCAGACCTGATAAAATGAAAACAAAAAATAAACGTTTTTTACCCCCAAAAAACTGAAGAGAAAAGCCTACCACATTTTCACTGAAGTTTGGAAAAGCTCTGTTGTCTACATAGCCTGGCAAATATCCACAGTGCCCCTCAATGCTCCAGGGTGCCCCTTTGTGATCCATGTCCTGCCTCAGAGAAGGGGGCTAAAGGGAACACAATTCTTTCACACTGAGTTTATTGTGCAAATTCACACATCTTTTTCAGACATGATACTTCAGGCAGGACAGAATCTCTTCTACCTGCTACTTTCATGCTGTAAAAACAATCTGTGAGAACTCGATTTTCTACCACTCCTACTCTGGAAAAAGTAAGTTCTTCAGCAGTAAAACTTTTTAAAATAGAACACCACCATCTGTGGCACACACTTGGGTGCAGTATCATCTACTGATTAAAACTGTGGGCCTCGGGGTCTGAGTCCTGTTTTTCCATTTTTAATTGTGAGGTTTTAGACAAGTTAATTCATTTCTCTGCGTTTCATTTCCTCATTTAGAAAACAGGGATCCTATCACTTAAATGAGATAATGAGAAATGAGATCACATAATTTAAGTGTAGCTGTTTATTACAGTTACGGTACGAAAGTTTTTAAAAGATTACATTTCTTACTCTAGCAGCCAATAGGGTAATACCTACTTCTGTATTTTTAAATATCATTTACAAAAACATTAGTATGTTCCAACCAATGGGGAAACTCTTTTCCTCACCATAAACACACATGCCTTCCCCAGAAACAAATACTATTTAGATTCCATTTAATTGTACCTTCATCTCGTACTTGGATATGATTGAATGTAGGGCTCTGTTTTATACTTCAGGCCCCAAATAAGTAGGAATTGATTGACACTCTATAGACTATTATATATAAATAACTCCATTGTAATATATAATGGCAATCCACTGCCCCCAAACCATACTTTTATACCCCTTCTCTACTTTAGATTTCTCCTATTTTAAAATACCAGATGGCTAAGGATTCTTTTTGGGGTTGATGACAATGTTCTAAACTGGTTTTCATGATCTGTGGACAACTTTGTGAGCATACTAAAAGTCACTGAATTGTATACTTTAAATGAGTGAATTGTAAGTTATGTGAATTTTATTTCAATAAGGTGGTTGTTAAAAAATTCCTGTTCCTCTTTTCTCTCACCCACTAGAAAGCAAGCTCCATGAATACACGAACTTCTGTTTGTTATAAATGGAATAAAAACACAGAAGCTTCCAGTTTGGGACAGTTCCGGCAGAGAACATGCTCCTCAGTACTGCACCTTATCACAAGGGTTATATAAGCCCTTGTCTTTCAGCAAAGTTCCTTGAAAACAGGTTTATTTGTCATCAAAGCACAAACTCTTAACAGTTGCTGAGTGAACAGATGCTTAACTGGATTTGTAGGATTCATCTTCATAGACTCCTTCTCCCATATGTATTGGTTTGTGCTTAAAAAAACACGTATGTAAGACATACAGATATATGTATGTATACATACACAGTTTTATGTTCTTTATGTACATATTATATATATCCAAACCAAGGTATGCCTCTCATTTGCTTTAAATAAGCTTAGTGAAATTTTGAACAATTAATGATCCTATGAATTTCAGGCCCTTTTGGACTAACAAGGCAGCACAAAATGGTCAATGCAAAAGTTTGAACAGTAGGTGAAATGCTATAAGGCAATCCTCACAGTATACTATTCATAAACAAAGTAAAATGAGAGTGGCACAGAGTTCTCACTTCCCGTTCCTCAAATCTAGATGATACCTGCAGAGAAATCACCTCTGATGCTCTGAATAGTTTTACCTATAATTGAGATATATGCTCAAGGTGATTTACAATGTTTAGAAAAACATACGGCTATATACTGATTTCCCACCTGAACTACTTTGGGGAAAATTACCTGCATTAGGTTAGTGCAAGAACCAGGCACTGTACACAAGGGCACATCTTGGTCAGGATCAATGATGTACTTGGTCAGGCTCATCCTGACAAGTGCTGACAGCCCTGCCATTCCCATGTGCCCCATGAATAAGAAAATTTAAGGGTTGGATCAAAAACAGTTACTAAGTGCAAAGACTGCTTTCTATTTAACTTTATAAGCCCATATCTTTGCCATTACAACACGGACAGCTGCCGAGCTGAATGAGGAACAAACCGAGAGAAACCAAGGGGCTTATTGCTACTGTCCAGGGTCACACACTTGACAGCAAGAACCCGGGCTTAGACTTAACTTCCCTGTAAACCTTTTCACTACCTCCCCTGCCCATCTACCTTCCTTTTCCTTCTTCCTCCCCAACAACTCCCCTTTATCTTCTTTCTATCCAAATTCGCTTTTAAACTCTTCCCTTGTGGTCTGCCCAGTATTAGATTATCAGTTAGGGTTATAAGAGGTAACCCCTAGACTACATCTGCCCAAAATGTATTTTCAAATAAAAAGGAACATTTCCAAGTTCTTACTCGTTGACTTCCAGGTCTTGGTCATCAGAAGATTCATCTTCTCCCAGGACATTTCCAGAATCTGGTTTCTGAATGAGAAAGAAAAGAACTGTCCCCACAAGGCTAATCACTGTCAGGGCAATAAACACAGTTCTTCGGTCACTCTCTACAGAGAAAAAAGAAGGAGACGGCACAAATCAATTCCAGAGTTAGCATTATGTTCAGATTATAACCATCACACACGTCCTCATTTGGTGTTTACTTTATTGCATTAGTAAAAACCCAGGACAAGAAGATAAATAGGACATCTCCATCTTTGTCCTTTTAGAGAAACACTAATAAGCCAAAAGAAACACAGCCCAAGAACTTAATCATATTATTTAAATAAAAAAATGTAAAGACTGAACAATTATGAGCTCCAAAGTCTAACAGCTGATTAGCATACCTGTACTTAGTAAACCTCCTCCCATGCCTTGAGATGCCACTGGAGGCACAGTAGTAAACTCTAATCCTAGCTTAATAACATAATCCAAGGAACAAGGTTACTAAAAGCTAAAATCTGAAAGCACTTAAGGTACCACGGCTCATTAGAACACTTTGAGCAGAGCAATCATGGGCATTCCTGTGGAACCGCTGTTATGCTTTGAACACGTCTGAATAAGCAAAGTGAATAAAACAAACCTGATATTTGCGTTTTCCCTTGCCAAGCAAAATATATGTAGAGATTTCCAAAGAACAAGCTAAGGGAAGAAAAGTGAGATGTTAGAACATTTTGATATTTATAGTTTTTTAAACAATGTTTTCGTTATTTGTTAAAACAACAGTGGGGGTGGCATATATAATTTAAAAAGTATCTATCTACCTGCCTTAGGTCATTTAGAAGTACCAATTCCACCCTGACTTTGAAAAACTGAACTGACCTAGATGGAATTCAGCAACCTGGCAGTAACCTGATTCAGAACCACCCTTCAAAGATTTGACTCACTTTGAAACATGATTTACTGGAACTCTGGAAATGACACTTTGGAAACAAGTTTATGCTCTTCGAAAACCCCGTATTTTAAGTAATCTATGAAAAAATGTCCACGATTTAGTTATCTGCATCTAATCAGGTAGTTATTTATAATACTTTCCTAGGGAGGGAATCATTCACATACACTCTGGTTTCTTACTGTACAACCCCTGACAGCAAAGCACTTCCACTTGTCAAGCTTCACCAACACCAAAATTTTAGGCAAGATCCATGAGAGTAAATCCCTAGGACAGATTCCAGGGAAGAATGACAGCTGCTGCTTTTTACTCAGGAAATATGTAACATGCTGTAGCATTCAATGATGATATAATCAGTATCACTTTTGAGTTTTAACATATTTAACAGCTATCAGGTAAGTATAGCTTGGTAGGAAGGACCAGTGGTCTTTGGAATCCAGGTAAGGGTGGTTGCGATTGGGTCAGTGACTTAATTTTTAAGCCTCTGTTTACTATGGGGTAATGCCTTCTCATCTCACAGGAATCGTAAGGATTACTGAAATTATTGAACCCATAAGTCTCTGGAAAATAGCAGATGCTAAATACATCCTGGGTAATGCTATTTTCTGTTTACTAATCAGAAACTCCAATGAGGTAGGTCCATGCATTTTAAGTAATTCTGCAAGATTTTAAATCTGTATCATATACAACTAGGAACTTAATTCATGTAACATGGAAAGTCTGAATCTTCAATACAATAATCCAAAAAATGATATGACCAAAGCATTAAAATAGAGATTGAGCTCCAAATGATCATTACCTAGACTGTAAGAGTGCCCAGAAAATTCCACTGTTTCTCCCAATAGTGTGCTCATCTGAATTTATCGTAAGGCAGTTTCCTTGTGCTGTCCAAAGTACTAAAATTCAAACCAGAAGTTTATTAAGGGACTGAAATGACTTAGCTGTACATACGAAACTCACAAATGATACTCCAGATAAGCCCAGGAAAACAAGAGAAAATAAACATCAAAATGCTTACCAGCAGCTGCAATTCCAATGAAAACAGAGGCTGTATAGAAGGACCATGGGAAAGGCTGGATAAAAACGGCAATGTACATGCTAAAATATAACAGGTCAATGTATTATAGTCAAACAATACCTGAAATGGAATGCCAATTATGCCTTCTAGGAATCAATTCTGAGGGTTTCTCTTCATTTAAAATTCAACCTGTAAAGGACTTCTCCAGTATTGAGGGGAAAAGGGACAGATGTGACCTACTCATTTCTTAATTTACTATTTCAAATTTGTAAAATCAGATATTGAATGAAGGTCTGCAACTGGCCTTTGCAAACAGCTTAGCACACAATGGGACCAGAGTTCTACGACCCAGAAGTTTTGCTTTTTCATTTGAATTCCCAATATTCAACTTGATATAAAATAAGATTATTTCATGGGATATTCAAGTCTCATAGAAAGATGTTTGGGTTACTTTATTAATAGTAAAACAAAAGCAAATATACATACATCCCATCACATGAAGCAATATGGCATTAATATGCTTCAGGTAGAGAGCATCAGAGAGCCAAATTCCTAAAATATCACCTGTCGTCTATTCGATCCGAGTCGGCAAGTTCTTGTTAAAAGCTTACTATATGCTTCAAAGATGAAGGTGTCCTAATTAAATGAGTGAAAGAAATTGCACACTCACCTGTAAAATAAACCACTAGCAAACATAGAGAGTTGAGGTCCTACAATGGCAACCACTGATGGTGTAATCAAATTCGAAGCAGAAAACACTCCGTAAATAATTGCCAGGCTGTTCACATAACACACAAAAGGAAAAAAAAAAAAACTCTTGAAGCACTGTCTTGAAAGTTCACTTTTTCAACTCAGAGTCTGTTTTTGTTTTTGTTTTCAGTAAGCATCCAAACTCCTAGCCAGCATTCATAAAATGACACCATGAAACTGGATGTCACTTGTAGAAAGAATTTAAGCCTCATTAAATGTCTCTTTTGAGTCAGTGTGCCTTGGGCAATACTGTCTTCATGTGCTGATAAATCATAAAAACAGCTAATATATAACATTTAACCGGTACAGTGCCAAGTACTTCATACACATTTCTCTTTTAATCCTAACAGTGCTATGAAGATAGTATTATGATGTTCCTCATTTTACAGAAAAGAAAACTGAATGACAGAGGGGTTGACCTGCCAAATACCCAGCTGGATAGCTGGTGAATGGTGGAGCCAGGATCCCATCCCTGGTAACCTGACTCCTGAAGCCCTGGTCAACCAGTCTGCTCTACAAACAGCCTACAACTCCTGGCAACTGCATGAAAACTGCTATAAATAACAGGCACAGAGTTATAGACTGCTTAAACCAGAATTCACTTAACTCAACCCAGTGGTCTCACTTGAACACTACTCTGCTACTGTAGACCCAGGCCTGGTATACATGTCTCGCAACAAAGTGACTAAAACCATTTCCAGCCTCCTGAATTCATTTACCAGTCACTATTTATGAATCAATAGTAGATTATTCTTTGGCTTTTATGAATCTCTCAAAAATCAAATGTTCTCTCTTCTGTTCTTTAGAATACACATGAAGACAAAGCACTACAAAAGGTTGTATTATTATTAATCACTTAGAAGAATGGACATTAGCATCCGTTACTCTTGAATATCAGATACAAGATCAGGTTTACAATAGGTAATAAAGAATCAAATAAGAAGAGCTGGAGGGGAGGGGAGGAGTGTTGGCCATGACCTAATATTTAACTATAGAGAAATTAAGGAACCTGTTTGCGTTTATATACGTGGCTGTATTAGATTCCCAGCTTCAGTCACAGTGTACTGGTGACTTACAAAGAGGTCTTCTCACTCATTTTCTCCATCTGCAAAATTGGGACTAAACATCTTACCAAAAGTCTAAAAGTTCCTGATGACACTATGCTAAACATTATGAAATTACAAAAACAGTAAGACCAAATGTTTGAAGAATCATATAAATCATTCTCTGTTTAGGATTGGGAAGATGTAATTGTGACAACAGTAGACTGCTTATTAAATGCCAAGCACTGTGCCAAGCGCTTTACATGCATTATCTGAGCAAGGACACCGGGCTCATAGAAGCAACTTGCCTAAGACAACACACAAATGAAGTTGTGAAGCCAGGATTTCAAACCCAATGTCTAATTCTACATGAAACCTAAAGTCACCACCTTTATTCTATTATATGCTCCCAAAGAGGTAACAGAAAAGAAAAAAACGATCACTACTTCAACCACAATATTTTATTGCCCGTGATTTTGATGAGATTTAAGCAACTGCTGTAATATAGCAAGTAAAATCAATTATACAGTACAATACCTGGTATATCCACTGCCATGAAAATCTGTGCTATTTAAGCTTCGGATGACAGTTTGCTGCGTGGAAGAAAAAAAATTAATCAAATGAAAGCATTTTGCAATCTCCCTCCCCCCTGGAAAGGCTGTCTCCAAGTACAGAGAATTAAGTAAAAAATCAAGATGCTCAATACTTAATACTGAAAGTCGACTATGAAAGAAGAAAAAGGTGTACAGAATAAAAGAAGGCAAACTAGTGAGTGATAAGAAGAGGATAGGGGGAGTCCAGCCATAAATATGCTTTGGATTTTATTTCCTTAACTCTCCCAGTACTAGTGCAGACCTTGATGCTGACAACAAGTAAAACAAGTCAATATGCAAACCCCAATCAGATCAGAAAAATAAACCGTAATGCTTAACACCCCATATATTAACAATTTCATATTTCTGACACATGAAATCAAACCTAGGCATAAAAAAATGAGGGAGGGTAGGGAAGAAAAGGTGCAATTTAAGCGCACTGTTAAATATAATTAACGTTTATTATCATTTTTGGAATGCATTATGACAGGCACTTCAAAGGAGGGAGAACAGATCCCAACTCACCGCCACATTTCCACAAGTTTGAAAGGCGGTGAACATAAACATAAAGGCAATTCCTAAAATAATGATATTGAAAAGCTTTTTAGATTCCGGGGACATTTTGTCTCAACTCTGCCGGAGGTCAGCAGCAGCCCAGGGCCGTCAGTTGTCGTCGGGACGAACTCGCTGACAGTCCTGGGGAAAGAAATGAGATGGTCAGACGCGGCAGACCCCGAGCGAGGCAGCCGAAGTTCTCCCCGCGGGCAAAGTCAGGACATTCCAAGGGTACGAGCCGAGTGGGGAAGTGCCCGACACCCGGAGACGCGCCAAAGATGTAGCTGCCCAGGTTGAGGGACGGGCGAAGGGGAGCAGGGGCCAAGGACGAGGTGCAGCGGCCAGCGCCTCCCCGCCCGCGGGCCCTGACTCAACGCGGGTCAGGCGACCCGGTCATCTGACCGCAGCCACGGCGCCGGCCGCTCGGCCCGCCGGGAAATATAGTCCAGGGCGGCCAAGGATGGAACTGCGCGCCGCGAGGGGAATCCCTCGGCCCCCGAGGAGGGCGCGGCGGAGGTGGGAGGGGCCGGGAACTGAGGGAGGGAGCCTCGCGACGCCGTAGGGGAATCTGACAAGGCCAGAGACACAGAGGGACAAACGGCACAGTGCACCCTCTGACAGAGGCGGGAGCGCGAGCGAAAGTCCGCGCACAGAAACTGCGTGGAGCTCGGATATTGGCATGAAAAGGCGGAGCCCAGAGGAGAGCACTTCCTCTTTTTCCCGGTGCGGGAGAGCACCCGTACGGCCTCGCAGCCGGAAGGAGCATTTCGCGGGCTTTCCAACTGCCCGCAAATTCCGCTCCCCCCACTCCGCAGCAGTGACTCCGCGCTTTTCGACCCGCCCGCCATGCTCTGCGCAGGCGCACCGGGTTGGGGCGGGGCGCGCGGCAGCGACGTTACAGGGAAGGGAGGGGCGAGCCAATCAGAGAATTCATTTCCGGGTGGTGCGGGCGCCATTTTGTGAGGAGGCGTATAAATAGACACTGGGGCCGGCCGTTCACCCGGTTTATCCTGTTGCGGTTAGTTGCGGAGCTGTCCCTCTCGTGTCTTACGTCCAGGCTTCCCGAAACGTTTCCACGAGGAAGCTGTCTGCCAGAGAGGCCCGGCGTCGAGCCGAGCTACTCTGAAGAAACCGCCGCCGCCTCAGCCGTGCGCGCGGGCCCACCCAGGGCATTAGTTTGTCGGCGCGAAGTCGCGGGCCCCGGGCCGACTCTCCAGAGCCATGAGTTACGGTCGTCCGCCTCCCGATGTGGAGGGCATGACCTCCCTCAAGGTGGACAACCTGACCTACCGTACCTCGCCTGACACCCTGAGGCGCGTCTTCGAGAAGTACGGCCGCGTCGGCGACGTGTACATCCCGCGGGACCGCTACACCAAGGAGTCCCGCGGCTTCGCCTTCGTCCGCTTCCACGACAAGCGCGACGCCGAGGACGCCATGGACGCTATGGACGGGGCCGTGCTAGATGGCCGCGAGTTGCGGGTGCAGATGGCGCGCTACGGCCGCCCCCCGGACTCGCACCATAGCCGCCGGGGACCGCCACCCCGCAGGTACGGGGGCGGCGGCTACGGACGCCGGAGCCGCAGGTAAACGGGGTGGGAGCCGGGGTCGGGGTTGTCGGGAGGGCGTTGGGCTGACGCACAAAGGTCTTCAGAGGCACGTGGCGGCGGGCGGAGCTGGGGGGCGCTCGCCGCGGGCGGCGACCCTCCGGCCTGCCTTTCCCCGGCCACCCCCGTACTCTCCCCCTGGGGCGGCAGGCGGGGCGCGTGCAGCGCCCGACCCCGGCGGGGAGGGCGGAGGACCCCGGCTCGCGACCAGGGAAATGGCGTCTGGCGGCGAGATAATGGCGGTCTGGGCGGGCGGGAGCACGCGGGCGGGGCGCGGCCCGGTAGCCGGCGCCCTGACGCCCTGCTCGTTCCCGCCCGCAGCCCTAGACGGCGTCGCCGCAGCCGATCCCGGAGCCGGAGCCGGTCCAGGTCCCGGAGTCGATCTCGCTACAGCCGCTCCAAGTCTCGGTCTCGCACTCGCTCAAGATCGCGGTCCACCTCCAAGTCCCGATCGGCCCGAAGATCCAAGTCCAAGTCCTCGTCGGTCTCCAGGTCCCGCTCGCGGTCCCGGTCCCGGTCCCGGTCCAGGAGCCCTCCGCCCGTGTCCAAGAGGGAGTCTAAGTCCAGGTCGCGATCCAAGAGCCCCCCCAAGTCTCCTGAAGAGGAAGGAGCGGTGTCCTCTTAAACAAACGGTAATGTGCGGGGGTCCGAGGCCCACGCCTCGCATTCGGAGCTGGGGTTTGGTGTGGTCTCCGATCCGGTTAGCGTGCAAGTGGCTCCTGGTAGGAGCGCTGCTCTGAACTAACAGCTTTGGGAGTAATACTGAAGAGGGGTCTGCAGAAAGGATGTGTGTAAAGCTTAGATAATAATGGCTGTTTCGTAAACTGTTTGAGACCTATTAATGAAAATGACTATTTCTTGCTGTTTTTATCCAACGTCTGCATTTTCCCCTTTAAAGCTGCGGTCTCCTGTTTGATAAAAGAATATTGGCCAGTATTGCAGATTTTAACTGATTTGGCTGATCCTCCAGGGACCAGTTTCTGTGGGCGTGTATTGGAGCAGGTTTGTCTTTAAATGTTAAAGATGCACTATCCTCATAGAGCGAACAATCAGTTCAACTATTGTTGTACTGACTGGGACTTCATATTCTAATGGATGTGGCAAACGAATTGCAAAAAGAAGCAATGAACTTTTGGAACCCCCAAAATTTTACAGGTACTACACTGGGTGGGGAAAGGATAGTGTGTCTTTAACTCTCCAATTGTTTGGTCCTGTTTTTTAAAAGGAAAGGGCCCTAAGTAGCTCAGATATTAAAGCATTCTCAATTGCCAAATGTTTCATTTGAGAACTAAAAATTTATATATCAATTTTCTGGTTTAAAGTTTTTGTTTGGATACAGCCCCTCCCCCCCTCCTTTTTTTTCCCCCTTTTTTCTTTTTACCCCCTTACCGTTTTTCTTCACCTTGGTTATTTGGCCAAGAATGTATGAGCAAAAATTTGTAAATGCTGGTGGTAGCCTTTGAAAATTTCCTAAATGGGCCTTTAAAAACCTGATGATGGCTGGGTGGAACCTTTCTGTAACCTACTTGTTTCACCAGAGCCTTAGTAAGTACATGCCTGAAAGTGAAGCCAGGTACACCTTCGATAACTTAACAGTAATTGAAGGTAAACTGAGATTCTTTTTTTTTCAAACCTAGATGTGTCGACAAGCAACATAACAAAGGACTTGGGGGAAAAGGACCACAGTTCAGTCCATCAGGAGTCCTTGGAACAAGCAACTGGCTATTGAAAAGGTTATTTTGTAACATTTTGTCTACCTTTTTACTTGTTTTAAGCTTTGCCTCAGGTGGCAAACTTCATTTTTTGTGCCATTTTTTTGCTGTTATTCAAATTTCTTGTAATTTAGTGAGGTGAACGACTTCAGATTTCATTATTGGCTTGGATATTTGAGGTAAAATTTCCTTTTTGTTTGTATAGTGCTGACTTTTTTTGTTTGAAATTAAACAGATTGGTAACCTAATTTGTGGCCTCCTGACTTTTAAGGAAACGTGTGCAGCATTACACACAGCCTAAAGCTGTCAAGAGATTGACTCAACATTGCCTTCATTCCTTAAAATTAAAAACCTACAAAAGTTGGTGTAAATTTGTATATGTTATTTGCCTTCAGATCTAAATGGTGATTTGAACCCAAATTTGTATAAAGACTTTTCAGGTGAAAAGACTTAATTTTTGGAAGGATTATTTACCAAACACAATTCTAATCTCTTCTCTTATGTATTTTTGTGCACTAGGCGCAGTTGTGTAGCAGTTGAGTAATGCTGGTTAGCTGTTAAGGTGGCGTGTTGCAGTGCAGAGTGCTTGGCTGTTTCCTGTTTTCTCCTGATTGCTCCTGTGTAAAGATGCCTTGTCGTGCAGAAACAAATGGCTGTCCGGTTTATTAAAATGCCTGACAACTGCACTTCCAGTCACCCGGGTCTTGCATATAAATAATGGAGCATACAGTGAGCACATCTAGCTGATGATAAATACCTTTTTCCTCTCCCCCAACCCCCAAGAGAAATGGTCAATCTTCATGTATAAACAAAATATGGAAAATGTTAAGGAAGCAAATGGTTTGTAACTTTGTAAGTACTTATAACATGGTGTATCTTTTTGCTCATGAATATTCTGTACTATAACCATTGTTTCTGTAGTTTAATTAAAACGTTTTCTTGGTGTTAGCTTTTCTCAGAATATGTCTTGGTCTTTTTTCCTGGCTTTTAAAGACCTGTGCGATTCTCTTGTGAATATTAATAACTAAAGTATGAAAAGTTAAAAATACTCAGTAGCTTTTTTCCCTAAGTTAAGTGAAAATGCCATTTCAGCACCTACTATCCCTAAAATCAGTGCTCTAAGGTAGCACTTTCTTGAGACTGTAGCTCAGTCCCTCCTCTACCCCTTCACTCATAATTTGTGTCCTATTTTCATGATTTAGGCGCAGTCTGAGTCCTTATTTTTTAAAAAGTGTTTTAATGTTTGTTTTCCTGGCTCTTTAACCGATGGGTATTATCTAGGTGACCCATCACAATCCAAGGCCAACAGACCTGCCTATGCCTACCTTCAGACAAGCTGTACTCTCAAGAGGCTGAAGTGTGGTTTGAGTCCTAGTTGGCATGCCAGGTTGTTTATCAGCATTGATATTGTCCCAAAACAGCTTGTAGATATAATTCAGAGACTGTCCTTTGCAAAGGAGATGACCAGCATTTCAACAGTATGTCTTCCTGGAAAGACAGATTCTGCTATATCTTCCTTGTCTGCACCAAAAGACTCCAGAGGAATATGGACACATTTCATATCCCACTTGTAGAGCAAAGCTTCAAGTGACCAGTCAGCACTGGAAAAAAGAAAAGTTTTCTTAGATTATGCTCTTCCTGTTCTGCCTCAGATACATGCTCATTTTTTTCCCTTAAAAGTAGGCATTGCATGAATAGTGAGGCTTTTTAATAAAAATAAACCAGGAATATTTCATGCTTACCTTCTCACCTGGTAAGTAGACCACAGTTGGACCTTGGGGTTCTTCTGCATCAGAAAGTATACTGTAGTTAAAATGTCTTCAAAGTCTGAAAAGAAAGAACTTAAATAGACCTACATTCCATCTCTGGCCAAATTTAGTATTGAAGAGCAAAAAAGGTTTATACCTTCTGGTTCAAAGAACACATCAGATGCAAGAATGATATCTTGTGGTGGTAGAGCCAGAAGGTCCCGAGATACGTGACCCCACGTTAGTCCCACAACGCACACCTGTGGCAGGTTATTCATTTGGCAGCTTTTCTGACAGATTTCCAGGCAGTGAGGCAGCTCTGAATTGTCTGACAGTGTTACTTCAGCACCACACTTACCAGCTATGATTCCTGGAAGGCTCACTCCAGCTCCAATCTAGTAGATTTAAAAAAGATGGGATTTCATAGTTTAGCTTAAAACTGCAAAGACTTTAGGACCTTAATTTCCTGTTTCATCCTTGTATTTTTACACGGTCAATGTATAAGTATATTCTTGAGCTTGTGAAGTCTAAAACTGCCATAATTCAACACAGCTTCACTGAAGTTATGGCTTTGAATTTGTCGGGACAAAATGTATTTCCTTGTGATTCTTCTAATTGGGTCAAACCGAGTCCCATACAGGACATCAGGTCTGTAGAAGCTCAATGGGTGACTAAAACCAGCTGCTGGGTTACTACCAGTTATATTTGCTTTCATGTAAGTGAAGCCTGACAGGCCTACAACATGGCTTTCTGCTCAAGGGGATTTTCCAGCTGGGCTTGAAAAGCCAAGGCCCTTAGAACATACTAAGGAGTGATGCCAAGGAAGGCCTCCCTAAGTGACATTCGAAACACAAGCTTCCCATTTGAGTTTGATGGGCAAAAAGGATTCTTTCTGAATGCCAACACTTGCCACCATTTTGGGCCATGAGTATGACAAATGCTTTCCCTAGCCTCCCTTCACATGGTTTTGCTAAGTGTCATGTCAAGCTTCTGATGGGTATATAGAACCACTTGAGCAAACGACAAAAGTTCATTTTGAGCCTTATGCATTTTTAGGTGGAGTGATGAGAATATGGGATATGTAATCAAAGTTTCCAAAAATGGTAAGGGTTATGACCCTGCTGAGACACCCTAGAAGATACTTCCATGCCAAGATTCTATAACTAAAACCAGTCAGTGGGCTTCACTTAGAATAAAGGTCAAGAAGTACATGTCAGAGCAAGTTGGGGCCAGAGTATTTCAGTCTTGGGCCTCATGGACTCTAGTGCATATATAAGTAAAAAAGCATTCTTAGCACACATGCCTTACAAGTTGACCAAGTCACCTGATTTCAAAGTACTTAATAGAAGCCACTGACAAGCATGTAGACTTAACACAGGATCTTTGAAAAATCTCAAGAGCACCTGTACCTCTAAGACTGCCTTGCCCAGCAGAGATCTTCTGTGAAACCACAGGTACTGGGCCAGGACCACAGCACAGGGCCAAACATACATTCCATACTGGAGATGCAGGACCTGTAAAGAATTTTTTTGTATGCTGTAACTCATCTGCTGGAAATCAGAACATTGGCTTATACAGCAATTACTCTGTGCCCAGCACTAGCATCCATTACCAAAATGCCAGTTCCCTGCTCTCCAGTCCACATCCCCTGGGAATCTGTATAGCTGCAGTACCATGTGATAAGCACTCTTCACAACTCATTTATCAGCAAGCATTTATCCAGGGACTGGGCTATTCTAGGCTGAGGTGGGGCTGACATACATACCCTACTGGGGAGAGAGAAAACTAGCAAAATTATTTTCAGCTGGTAATAACACTATGTATAGAGTAACAGGGTGACATGAGAGTTATGGCAGGGTGGGTAGGGAGGGGGAGCACAGCCACAAGGTGGCTGCCCTAGATGAGAGGATGATTCAGGAAAAGGCCCTGAAAGCAGGAACTGAAAGGCCTCTGGCCTGACCACAGGAAGCACCCGCAGTGTGGAGGCTGGAGGTACGGTTGTGTAGTGCAGGTGGAGGTCAGGGAAGGCAGGCACCAGACCCATGGGGTCTTGTAGGCCACAGGAAGTTTAGCTTTTATTCTAAGTGCAACAAGAACATATTGGAGGGTTTTAAGCACAGGCATAACTTGGTATGCAACACAGTGGCAAACAACGTGGTCCTGGGAAGGAAGACATCCTAGATAGAAGGTCTGAGAAAAGTTGCATCCTCGTTAGGAAGGCAGGCAGCTCACAAAGCCTGGAGAAAGGCACCAAACTGAGAGAGCAGTGATTAGGGAGGCAAGATAACAGCTCACACCTCTGGAATGAACCCGCCTGACTTCAACTCCAGATGTGTAATTTACTAGCTGTGTGACCTCACTCAAGTCAGCTTGTTTCCTCAACTCCCAAGACAGATCTCATAGGGTGACTAGGAAGATTCAATACAAACTACTTAGTGACAGACACAAAATAAGAATACGAGGTTAGCGATTATTAAACCGCAAACTGCTAGTATGCTTTCTAGAGCCTTTGGTAGAATGGTAGGAAAGGGGGCTGAAGTGGCCAAAGTGTCATTCAATTCACTCAACAAAAATATTAGTGACTACACTAAACTATGTTTTCTACTTTTATCTTGCATCTACCTACCACTTCAGCATTTTATTAAAAATAATAATAATAACAATAATAATAAGGGAGAGAAATGTGGGATTCACATATAAATCAAGTATAAAAATCAAACGAATATTCATATTTGACCTGGTTGTTTATAGTTCATAATGCGTGATCAAAACCGAAAGTTTCTGTGATGACTGCCCTTGCACTGTTCACCATGTAAGAACTTACTATGTACGAATTTGTTCACCATGTAAGAACTTGTTCGTTATGCTTCAGAAGATTGGAGACTGTTGAGAATTAGGCTTGGGGATGATTAATGATTGTGCATTGAGTCCCCTATACAGAATTTTATTGTTGTCAATAACCATTTGATCAATAAATGAGAGATGCCCTCTCAAAAAAAAAAAATATTAGTGCCTACAATACGTTGGGGATGGTTCTAAGTGTACGGCGGGGTGGGGGGTGGGGGTGTGCAACGTGACTAAAAGAGACGAAAATGCCTCTCCTAGTATATTTTCCCCAAGAGTACAAAGGATTTCTGACCAGAGAAGTAATTTGTGTAGCAGACCTGAGTGCAGAGGGGTCTTGATTTTCAAGGGAATATCTTCCCCACCTAAATTTGTGAAGAAATCCAAACGGGTATTTAAACGTGAGGCATATAGAAACTACTTGAAATGGGTTCCACTCAAGCTTTTCACTCCTCTTAAGCCATTTTTCATCTTTAAACTCATTACCAATACCTACTTCACGGGCTGAAGTTAAAACCGAATGAAACACTGCAACGTGAAAATGCTTCCAAAAACCTGACCCTTAAAAAGTATAATTATTATTTAGAGTTTGGGGGCAGTCATGAGCTGCAAGGAAGAAGTGACTGCCAACTCAAGAAACTTCATTAGGGCAGTGAGGGTTGGAATTCCTGGTCCCAGATAAAAATTTAAAAGCCCGTGAAAGAAAACACTGGTGTCAAGAATGCCACCTTTCTGGCAGGAAATATTAGGCGTGGAAAGGCCCCCTTCCTGGTAGGATCCTCAAATTTTTTACTCAAAGATTGCCAAAGGACTTCACACCAAACCTTTTCGCTCTGTGGTCCATCCTAAGGCAGGAAGCCATCGGCCCACCTCCCCATCCCCCAGGTCCGCTAAGAACCGCTCCTGCCTGGGACGCTACAGCGAAGGACCGGCGGCGCTTCCCGGCGAGTGCCGCTGCACGCACCTGCGGGACTCGGACCTCCAGCACGGCCCCCTCGGCTTCAAGGCCCGGCTCTTCCGAAAACCGAAAGCACTGGGTCCGGACCACATGCCCTCGGAGGCCTCGCTCTCCCAGAGAGCACCGGGTGGCCCCCGGGCGAGTCGGGAGCAGATGAGGGCGCGGAGCTGCCAGGCTGCGAACGCGGGAATCCCCGGGCCGGCTGGGGCCGTCTCCCGGCGCCACGTTGCCCCCCGCGGATCCCTTCGGGTCGCTACAACCTCAGACAAGAGGTGAGGACAGCACCGCTTCAGGGGGCGATGCGGCGACGCGGCGAGCTGCACAGACCCAAAGACAGACAGTCACACGCACAACAGCTTAGCCTCCACGGCGCGCTGGCCGGAAGCAAACCTCGAGTTGGCTGGGCGCTTCCGGAAGTGACGCGTCACCGGAGCGGGCGGGGAGGAGGGGCGACAGCGAGAGGGCCCTACGTGGGTCAGACCTTCCCAACATGGCGGAGATACGGCGTGTGTGAGGGCGGATCCCGGAGGCTCCGAGACCAATGGCTTACGGCGAGAGGCGCGGGGGCGGGGAAGATCGACCGCATACCCAACCCGAGGCCCGGGAGGTGGTTGGGGAGTGAATTTTCTGGAAGGCGACTTTAAAAGCGACGGGCCAGAGCGAAGGGCGTTTCGGTGCCGCCACCGCCCGGGCCGGGTAGTGGGCGCGTTGGTGGCCGGAAGCGAGCTGCACCGAGGTCGTCGCGGAACCAGCTGGTGACCCTCGCAGGATGAACCACAAGAGCAAGAAGCGGATCCGCGAGGCCAAGCGGAGTGCGCGGCCGGAGCTGAAGGACTCGCTGGACTGGACCCGGCACAACTACTACGAGAGCTTCTCGCTGAACCCGGCGGCAGTGGCGGTGAGCTGGCTGGGATCGCGGGCCGGGCCGGGCGTAGGCATCTCCGGGCGGCTGCGCACCTCTCCCGGGGCCGTTGGCCCAATCACGCCGAGCGCGTCTCCCGGAGTTCCGATGTGTCGTCGGGGCGCGGATACCCGGGCGGGCCTCCTTCTTCCAGTGCCCAAGCCACCGCCTGCCCGGGCACCTGGGGCATCACGCATTTGGCGCTTTCAGCGAAAAGCCCTGTCTCCCCTTGGCCCTATTGCACGGCGGTTCTTTGGGGGAACTGGCTGTCAAGGCTCAGGAGTGAGAGATGCGAAGCTCCTGTCCCCTAGTGGGGTGACGCCGGGTGCGACCTTCCCGCATGCAGATCCTGCCCTGCCCCAAGAGTAGCCAGAACTAGAATCTGGCTCCTTAGGTATGTCATTGTTAATTGGCCCTGGGGGAACAACCTTATCTGCAGCTGGACTTTCTTTTTTTTTTTATAACTATATAGGTCTTTTTTGATTCCCTCAGGATAATGTGGAAAGGACAGACGCGTTACAACTGTCGGTGGAAGAATTTGTGGAACGATATGAAAGACCTTACAAGCCCGTGGTTCTACTGAATGCCCAAGAGGGCTGGTCTGCTCAGGAGAAATGGACCCTGGAGCGCCTTAAAAGGAAATACCGGAACCAAAAGTTCAAGTGCGGTGAGGATAATGATGGCTACTCAGTGAAGATGAAGATGAAATACTATATCGAGTATATGGAGAGCACTCGAGATGACAGCCCCCTTTACATCTTTGACAGCAGCTACGGCGAACACCCCAAAAGAAGGAAACTTCTGGAAGACTACAGGGTCCCCAAGTTTTTCACTGATGACCTTTTCCAGTATGCAGGGGAGAAGCGCAGGCCCCCTTACAGGTAAAGTACCTGGTGAAGCCTTTGCATTTACCATATTCTCTACCACAACATGTGTCAGTGGAGCTCAGTCACCTAACCTTTTCCTAAAACAATGGCTGCACGTGGACACACTTGGGGACTGCTGATGCCTACCGTGTCCTACTGCCAGAGACTAATCTCATTGATCTGGGGTGCTGCCTGGACATCAGGATTTCCGAAAGCATCCCGAGTGATTCAAATGTGCGACCAAAGTTGAACCGCTGATTCGTAAAGGAAGTTTTAGTAGTTAAGTCCAGCAGTAAGCCACATCAGTGATTTTTCTTTTTTCTGTTCAGGATCAGTATGTGCACAATTCACCCAACACTTCTATGTACCAGCACTTGCATAGTTTTTGAAATAAAGATAATAGAGTGTACAAAGCAAGTATTTATTTCGTGGTGTGTATGTACATGTAGAGCTAAATAACTTTTCACATCTTGGATGTTTCTGTTCATTTAGGTGGTTTGTGATGGGGCCACCACGCTCTGGAACTGGAATTCACATCGACCCTCTGGGAACCAGTGCCTGGAATGCCTTAGTTCAAGGCCATAAGCGCTGGTGCCTGTTTCCCACAAGCACGCCCAGGGAGCTCATCAAGGTGACCCGGGAAGAAGGAGGGAACCAGCAAGATGAAGCTATTACCTGGTTTAATATCATTCATCCCCGGACACAGCTTCCAACCTGGCCGCCTGAATTCAAACCACTGGAAATCTTACAAAAACCAGGAGAGACTGTCTTTGTACCAGGTATAGATGAACTGAAAGAAAATATATCCTTTGACTTCAGTAATCTGTCATTTCGGAGCCCAGTTGTGTATAGAGCGAGTCAAAGAAACCCCTCTGCGTGCTGACTCTAACTGAGCTGACTGCTGCCCGCCTCTGACAGCGACGTACATCACAGTGTTGCCAGGCGCATAGGGGACTGCTGTCCGCTTTTTGTAACCTCAACATACAATGATTCTTGATAAACTTCCTGTATGAAAAGTTCCTACTCCTCCTCATCCCTAGTAGTTCCTCTGGTCTCTGTGTGTGTGCAGTGACTTATGCATATTTCTCTAAGTTGGGTTTTTGATAGAGTATAGCACTGGGTATGTTGAGTCACGAAATGGTGACTCAGTCGGGGAGGACAGTGCAGCACAGAGAAGGCAAGTAGTGACTCTGTGGCATCTTACTACACGGCTGGACAGTGACTGCAGTGGGTATCAGGGGGATTTGATAATATGGGTGAATGTAATAACCACGATGTTTTTCATGTGAAAGAGTGTATATCAATGATACCTTAATAAAAAGAAAAGAAATAGTGACGTAGTGCCTATGGGCAGGAAGTTCCCCACCTGAAAACTACACTGTGTTTTGTTAGGTTCAGTGTTGGGAGTGAGGGTATTTAAGAGGAGAGTTCTCCTTGAGAAGCTGAAAAACATGCTGTTACAGTTTTGATTACAATTTTAAATTAACAGGGATCAGATAACACACTTCTTCTGTAAAGAGCCAGAGAGTAAATATTTTAGGCACCACAGGCCATACAGTCTCTGTGCAACTGTTGTGCTCTGCCTGGGGAGCAGGACAGCAGCCACGACAATGTGTAAACATTTTTTAGGCAGGCCCGGCTGTACGCCAGTAGAACTTGATACAGACAGGTGGGGTGTGATGCCTGGGTCAGGAGTAGGATTCCCCACTCTGGACCCTGTGTCTCAGAGACTCTCCCTTGTGGATAGGCATCCTCATTCCTGAAGTTCATGTCATATGTGACATTACATAAAGTTTATGTTACATGTGATCACTTACAGAACCAAACCCTGGCTAACTGTTTATTTGTTGGATTTCAGGAGGCTGGTGGCACGTTGTCCTCAATCTTGACACCACTATTGCCATCACCCAAAATTTTGCCAGCAGCACCAACTTCCCTGTTGTATGGCACAAGACAGTAAGAGGGAGACCAAAGTTATCAAGGAAATGGTATAGGTGAGAGACCTTTTCTTCTTTTCACTTTGTTCCAATTTCTACCCCAGAGACAAACGGAGAGAGTCCACTGCTGCAGGAACGTGCTGATGCTAGACAGGCCTAGGAGAAGCGGGGGCTGCAGACCCTCGTGGGTAGAGAGTGGGTCCAAGGTCAGGGTAGTTCTCAGATGCTTGCCAGCCTTGAGATGATAGGGTGAGACTCTGCATGTTGGTCAAAGCCAGTCAGTCAAAACAGGGTCATAATTGGGATTTCTCATTTTCTGTTTTTGTTTTGTTTTTTTCCCCAAAGCTAACAGTAGCAGAGAAAGTTTTATTTGGGTTTTATTTTGGTTATTTATTTTTCTTAACCCAGAAGCATTATTCCCAGTTGAACTTGTTACCTTCAGTTCTTGTGAGTGAGGTGACTGCCCTGGAGACTTAGCTCCTCTGTTTATCCACAGAACAGATACAGCACGGGCAGCGGCAGTGCAAGCCACCCCCAGCCACCCCGTGCCACTGTGTCCCAACCCTGACCTGGAGGGACCAGCTCTCGGGGTAAGAGAGGGATTCTGGCTTGTTCAGTGCTCAGCCTCCCTGCTGAAAGGGCCAGCAAGGGTGGTGGCTTTGTTGTCCCCAGACTCTCGGGCATCTGAGGCCCGCTCACTCTGTCCCATAGGCCACTGCGTGCTGCGATTTGGCCATTCTGAAGGCCCTAGCGTACAGCAGGTCTTTTGTCCCTGGTTTACTGTGGATGCCCGATTAGGTCCCGAGGGGAGGGCTGCTGCTTCTGCAAGTGCAGCTCAGTTTTCTCCTCGAGTGAGGGGGGTTCCCCTCTGTTAGGTGTCAAACCTAATTGTTCCTACTCTTAGAATTCAACACAATCCACCTTGTCATTAAGTGCTATGCTGTGGAAAAGAAAGGTTCAAAACAAATCAGTTAGGGAAGGTTCGGAAAGAAACAAGAAGGAGAGACCGTTTCTCCAAAGGGAAGATGGCGAGACTGACTCGGGGACGCTGCCGCATGTCCCGGCAGCCCCTGCGGCTCATTGGTGCAGGCGGCAGTAAAGGGCGTGTAGCTCGTTTTCCTTGCAGGGAAGCCTGAGCAGCCTGATGGGGCTCTGGTTCCCAGCCTGTGGACTCGTGTGTCCTGAGCACAGTAGAGCACCCGGCCGGGAGCAGGGCACCTGGCATTCCTAGACGCTCCTGAGAGACACGGGTCTCAGCCCTGAGTCTGGGTTACTGTGTGTGGGGGTCGTGGCGTGGCCCCACACTGAGAACACCACTTCCTGTCTCTCAGGATCTTGAAGCAAGAACACCCTGAGTTGGCCGTCCTTGCCGACTCTGTTGACCTCCAAGAATCCACAGGGATCGCCTCAGACAGCTCCAGTGACTCCTCCAGCTCCTCCAGCTCCAGCTCGTCCAACTCGGATTCCGAGGTGAGCCCCGACTCCCTCGCCAGGCCTCCTGGGCAGGTTGCCCGCAAAAACCAGATGGGACTTTTTCTCCTCCTTAGGAAGGAGAAAGTTTTTTGTGGACATTTTTCACTTGGTCCCAAGCATTGCAGCTACCACCATTCCTGCAGTGTGGTGGATTTTGCCCCCTTAGTAGGCTTTACACGTGTGCGTGAGTCGTTACAGTAACCTCAAAGGTGCGAGAAGAATTTGGGGATTTCATTGAGTAATGGCCCAGGATCACACAGCTAGCAAACAGCAGTGTCAAGATTCACACTCTGAGCATTCTGGCCTCACAGTCCAGGTTAAGAATTCTCTCTGTGGATGGTAAACTGTAACCCTAAAAATTTAGCAAATTGAATGACTTGCTAAAAAACCAGAATACTGGGTAGCAGGGTCCTCTGCCCTTGACAAGTGGAACTTCTATTTTTTAACTTCTCACACTCTGCTGACTGAGTCTTTTCTCGGCATGAGAGGCGTGTTTTATGACTCTGAAGAGCTGTACCCCCCATCACACGCCAGCCCTGTGTCGGCACTGCCAGATCCCCGGTGCCATCTCAGAGTGCTGACTGCAGAGTATGCCCAGAATGCCTATCTCGATTTCAAACAAATGACCCTTCTGTTAGGGAGCACTGCAGGGACGCTTGGCATCTGAGGGAAGATTACAGTTCTTTGGGAGCCAGAAACATCTGAGAAGAGAAATATTCAGACTGTGTTATGGAACTATCATAAATGGCTGTTTTGCATTAGGAGAAAGTGAACAATATTTGTGCTGTCTCCCGAGGCTGGAGGTTTGTTTAATGAAGAAGTGGATTGCATCCAGTTCATTCTGCTTTTTCCTCCCCTGTCTAGTGTGAGTCTGGGTCTGAAGGCGACGGGACAATGCACCGCAGGAAGAAGAGGAGGACGTGCAGCCTGGTGGGGAATGGGGACACCACCTCCCAGGATGACTGTGTGAGCAAAGAGCGCAGCTCCTCCAGGTGACCACGCATGCTGCTGTCCGTGTAGAACAACTTGCCCACACGAGGGGAGGATCCTGGGAGGGCAGCCCTTCAGATCACAGAGAAGAGGGGGCCGGCGATCGCCAGAGATGAGGACACCCTGGGAACATGAGTCCACTCACTGAGCATTTGCCCCAGTAGCTTCTTTCTCTGCTACCAATGCAAATTAATGTGGTTTGTTTCATGCTCAAAGGCAAGAATCTGTGTGGATGGTGCCAAGGAAGCCCTTTACATTATTTAATAAAAATTAAGTTCATTTTATAGCTTTGAAATTGTTTACATTGAGACTACCAGAACCTCCCCTTCTTGCCATTCTTGTCATGGCCTTGGGGGAAAGCAGTGACTCCATGGGGACGGGCGTGCATTCAGTGGGCAGTGCTAGTGGCGGCAGTACCGGTGGGCGGGAGGGGCAGTGACGGCGTCTTTGGAAGAGCAGGTGCGGCCTGCCGCCTTTCCGCCCAGTTTGCCATTGCTGATCTTAGTGCTCTTGCCGGGCCGGAAGCAGCAACGACCTCAGGTTTTCTATAAGGTCTTATTCTTGTTGTCAGCCTTTCTTGTGAAACCAGATTGGATCTAAATAAATTAAAACTAAGGTAATCTCTTGGCAAGCTCCCGCCCTGGCCCTGGGCATGTAGTGGACTTACAGTGACATTGGGTGACTGCACGCAGCGAGGGTCTAAACCCCAGAACCCTATATTTTTGATGCACTAGTTGAAGTGTGTCTGTCAGTAGCATGAAGAGGTAAGGCTTCTCGAAGATAGTAAGACCCTGAAGCTTGTAGGGTTCTAGGTGTCTGAAGTCCTTGACTGCGCAGGTGACATTCCTCTTAATGTTCTTTGTATCTCTGAACAGCTCAGTGTATTCTTAAATGTGTTATGAAAGTTCAGGATCCACATTCCTTTTTCTGTTGTCTTTTCCTCAACCTCTCAGGTCTAACTGGAATTCCCTGGGGAAATTCAGGAGTCTTATTCCAGTGAATTTATCAGACTAGAGTATGCATTTTTCACCATAGTTGCCCTTTTCACCGCCATACTTAATTTCTCAGCTTGTCTATGTAAGTTGTTCCTGATAAGAATAGGCTTATATCTGCCCTTGATGTGTGACTTTGCAATTTGTAGGAGAAAGCCTGCCTTTACTTAAACATGGGGCCTTGTTGGGGGGTTGGGGGGGTTCTAGTCTTAACCCTTTCTTCCAGCTTTGTGCTGAGCTGTGCCATCTACATGCTGATTACAGGAAGTTGTACTTTCCTTGGCAGGATTAGGGACACTTGTGGAGGCCGGGCTCACCCCTGAGCAGATAGAGACTCTCCCCAAGGTGGCTCCCGTGTGAGCTGTCAGTGCCACCCAACTCAGTTTTCACGTCTTCTGCTCCTACCTTCTCCTTTGTCTGCTGTGAATTTGGATAACCCTTCTCTGGTCCAAGCTGCCGTCTTCACACAAACACTGTTTTTACTGCATACTAAGAATAGATTGCCCAGAAGTTTAAAAACTCGGCAAGCACAGTGAAACCCTGACACTCTGAAGGCTGGCGTGATGTGGGGTAAGAAGGTTCGGTGCTGCCTCCTTGAAAACCAAGCTGGCCAACCACGAGGCTGGGAAGCTGGGCTCCTTTGGACGTGGTGTATCATCTGTTACCTCGCTGATGTGGGTAAAGAGCTTCACTGCCCACAGAGCAGCTGCAAGCGAACCAGCAGACACTAAGAGTGGTGAGCCGACTCTGATCTGTGTGTGAATCCATTCCAGTAAGAAGTACCGTGACTGTGCGACCATCCTGTATGTCTCCATGTGTCCAAAAACACATTCATGGCAATACCCAGCCTGCGGTTCCTGTGCGGCTCACTGCTGCCTCGTAGTAGTGCTTAGAATTTGTTCACCTTTTCTCCACAATCAGAGAGGCTGTTCAATTGCAGGAATGTTCTGGATAGTGTATTTTTGGGGGAGGGATGATACACAGGGTTATTTGTCTATGAACAGACTCAGAAAGGTATTTAATGGTTTCTCACAGAACTAAACTTACAAATGGCCAGGGTCTAACAGATTTGTCCCATTCTTTCCCACCACATTGAGCCATAAGTCAGAAGCTCTCCCTCTGTGAGATGCCCCAGGATTAGTGTCTCCATTTGTTTGACCTGGTGTTAGCAGTAGCTTTTGTGTTACATGCTGGCCATAAATTCAGAGATGGTGCTACTAGTCTTTAGGATGTGTTTAGACTTCTAAATAACTCTGTTATGAATACTTAGGGATGACCAGTATGTTCCATCTTTTGCCCTCCTGATTCACCTACTTGCCTTAATCTGCTCCTAAATGCAATTAAATTTCAGTGAAAACAAGGGAGTGTGTCAATCAGGGATGTGCCCCGTGAAGAGCACCATCTGGGCTGCAGTGGAGGCAGGCGCAGCAGCAGCCAGGAGGGAGAAGGAGGTGTCGCCATAGTGCCCCGGCAGTGGAAGGGTATGTGTGGACACCAGACATACCAGAACTGCCAGGTGTGGCCTCTCAGAATCCCCCCTAAAAGTAATATGAGAGGGGCAATCCAGGTGTCTTCTTTGCCAAATGCTGTTTGTAACCGGCTATCACTTCCTGACACTGGGCTGGTCCCCAAAGTTGTCCTAGTCCAGTTTTCTGCATCCTAAAATGCCAGCCCAAATAAGTGGCTGGGTAGGATGGAGACCTTCTGCCCCTTCCTTGGCTGCTGCAGTAGCTCTGCCTGCCACGTGGCGCAGCACCCCGCCCCTCCTCCGGAGCTCAGGCAGCAGCGGGCGCCCTCTGCTTCCCAGGTGGCCCCATAGCATTTGGGTGTGAGTAAAGTCAAACCCGGAAGGTATAACCTCTGTATTAATATCTGAATGGTGTTCCTCCTCTTAAAACTTCTCTGACCATCTTCAGAGTGCTTTTTTCTTTTCCCCAGTATTGCTACCGAACTCTCACATTCCCCTTCTTCCCAAATTCATACAAACTGCTCCTCTCTAAACTTCAGTTTAAAGGACAAACCAAAACTGTAAGGCTGTTGCCGGCAGGGGGGTAGTGGGACACGTTTGCAGTGGCTGGGATGGCGGAATGGCAGTTTGAATTTGAGAGATTAGCCACCCAGTTTTTCCTTCCCCAGATGCCAAAGGGTATTCCTGTTTGACAAACAATATGCAGAAATAAGGGAACCAGCCCACTGACATACTCAGTCACCTCTCCCGAAAGTCTGTATAGCGCAGATTACGTGCTGTGTTTGGCTGTTTGCCACCCCTTGAATGGCCGTGGGACACTCCGTTTGGTTTAGCCGGGCCAGCGAACAGCCCCTCCTTTCCCTGGCGCTGCAGGCCCGCCAGAGCGCACCTTTATGGAGGCGAGGCAGGGAGGCGGTGGGGAAACTGAGAAGGGAGAGGACCAGGGCCGGGTGATCAGGATAAGGCGGGAAGTGGGAACCGAGGGTTCATCTGTTCTGAAGTTAATCCTTCTGCCCGCTTGGCATGAGCTACTGCATTTGAGTGGCGTCACAACAGTAAGAGGGAGATGCAACATCCGACTATTTTCAGGACTGATCTCCGGAGACACCCCTAGCTAATGTGAAGACCAAGGAGCTGGGTCCTGGAAGGAGGTCTTGGATCACTAACTACTGACAGGGAGGAGCAGGATGGGCGGGGTGGGACATGAGTGGGACCTAGGGCAGCCAGGACATCAGGAGGCTCTGGGCCCTTGGGACTGAGGGAGGCACCACCCCATCAGTCCCAGGGATCCGTGCTGCACACAGTACCTCTGGGGTCATCAGGGCTGTGATGCCCAGGGCATGCAACACCACTAGGCGAGAGTCACCCAAAACGGGGACAGTAGTCACATTGTGCTCGTGCTTGCAGATGTCCACTTACTAAGCAGTCAACAAATGTTCGTGTGCCAGGCACTGTTCTAGGTGCTAGAGAAGCAGCAGAGACAAGCCCAGGTCCCCAAACTCGTGGAGCGTAAGGAACAGTGGATGTGCCCTTGTTCACAAGGGCCGCTGGTCAGGGTAGGCAGAGCCGTGCACGTCCATTTCCAAAACCAGACCTTAGGGAATTCACATTCATGAGATCTTCATAAAAGAACACAGTAAACATTGTAGCTGTATTTTTAACTTAGTTCTTGGCTTCTCTGTCAGTTAGCTGAGGGCATTTAACTAAGGAGTGAGTGGCAAGAAAGTTGCCAATGTAAGTGCTTTACAACCTTACAGACTTGGTATATCATTTAGGACTTTAGGCAAGAGTGTGGGATGGAACAAGTTCTGCAGTAAATGTTGTAAAAAGTGCTTTCTAGGAGGTAGGCATGTAAGCATGCAGCTGTAGGTTCCTTAAAGTGTGCATAGTGTTTCCACAACTAAGTTGTCTCTTGTGTATGTACCGGGTGCCACTGGTGGTTCCGTGTATAGTCTGGTCGCTCGTCATCCTCCCCCTCCCTGGCTTCTGTCGAGATGTTACACTGACATTACATTGTGTACTGCAAAAACTACATGAACTGGCTTGGAGGCTCACCTTTATCTCACTGTTATATGGTAAACATGAACCACCTAGCCCCCCACTGAATCTCCCAGGAGAACTGGCCAGGCCTGCTGTCTCTGAGGGGACTGAAGGTTACAGAAGAGCCGGGACTGTCTGCTGAGTGCCGCACGCCTCCTGTGGTTGTCAGGCAGAACACTCAGCAGCCCCCTCCTTCGGCTCCCCTTTCCGCCTGCGGGTCTGCCATTTGATTGGTATTTTTAACTTTCACTTGGATGAAACTTGTTCATCATTTTAAATAAAGCAACTGATTTGGAGTTGGGTTTTTATATTGTTTTGTTCTTGTTTCTTTTGATTCCTTCTCATCTGAAAGTTGATAGAATGTAACTTTGTACAATAGGACCTCTTACATACATACTTTTAAACAGTAGGGACAGGGGACAAAAATAAGGCCCAAACACTCTGGCTGAAAGTCCCATGGTGTTCGAAAGCCAGTAGCCAAGAGATTAACCCCAATCCATGTTGCATGGTTGTAGGGTGTTTTTCATCAGCCACCACTAGTTTCCCTTTTTGCTCGCCCCCACTTAATGTTATGCGATGCGCAGAAGTAAGTGGGCCCTGTTGCTGAACCCCGTTTGTCATACTGCGCTCAGGAGGAAGCCTGAGGATATACTTGCATCTTCCATTTAACAAGCAGCACCCCGTCTAGTATCGTGGCTCACACCAACATCCGGTCAGGAACTGGAGGTCACCACAAAAGTATCGAATGCATCCCAAGCAGACACTGGAACCCCGTTGTTTGCGCACTGAGGTTGCGCTGGCATGGTACCTGACAAGCTTTCCTGCCTTGTGTTTATTTAAAATAACTAGGGTAGAGTTGGGAAGTGGTAAAGAAACGTTTTTAGTTACAGCATGTTGATCTCAAATATACACTGTTTAGCAACGGAGTCCGGGGAGGATCTGGAGAAACAGCCCCAGACTTCCTTCCCTCTTTCCACCCTCCCATAACACTCCGGAATTATGCAAAGAAAGTACTGAAGTAGACTTGACTGAAAGCACTTGAGCTGGATCCCTGAAACCCAGCTTGGGGGACAGGCCCGTTAGGATGAGGCCTGATGAAGGTTGCTGGGTTTCAACCTAGAAAGGGCAGCCACCGGCCAGGCCCTGGCAATGTAAGCAAGCGGGGTGAAGAAGGCCGTCCACTGTTTTTTAGGCAGTCCAGTGCCTCAGTTCCAGTGAGCCTTTCTGGCTTTACTTGGCCAACTGACATTTCCAACTGCTCAGGGCCAAAACGATGCCCTGAGATGCCCAAAGATGACAATACTAGAAGGGCACCTGGGCGATGAGTGTTTCAAACTGGTTTACAAAAGGGGACCAAGCTCCAAGTGTCAGGCCTGCCCGGCCCGGGACGGATTGGCCTCGCCGGGCCTCGGGGGGGCGCTTCCCAAGGGAGCCGGGCTCGGGTCCCTGGCAGGGGTCGGCCCCCGGGGCTGAGGGCGTGGGGGCGGGGCGCGGGCGGGGCTCCTCCCCGGGGCGGGGCGCGGGCGGGGCGCGGCGGCTTCCCTCGGGGTCCCGGCGGGCGGGCACTCGGGCGGCCGCGGCGCGATGGAGGCGCCGGCGGAGCTGCTGGCCGCGCTGCCCGCGCTGGCCACCGCTCTGGCGCTGCTGCTCGCCTGGCTGCTGGTGCGGCGCGGGGCGGCCGCAAGCCCGGAGCCCTCACGCCCCTCCGAGGCCAGAGGCCCCCCGGAGCCGGCGGCCGCGCCCGAGGGCCCGGGGACCCCGGAGGGCCCGGGGGAGCCCCAGCCCCCGGGGGCGCGCGCGGCGGCGCCGGCGGAGGCGGAGGAGCAGGCCGCCGCGGCGAGGCAGGTACGGCCCGGCCCCGGGCGCCCCCCCACCCCGGGCGCGGCTCCCCGCGCCGACCCCCGCGTCCCCCCCGAAACGAGCCGGGAACCGGGCCCGACCTCGGGCCGAGCTGCCCCGAGGGAGGGCAGAGCCGCGCCCGGCAGGAAAGGAGGGTCCCCGCGAGCAAACTCACCAGCCTTCCCCAGAAGTGTCGCCGAATGCCGAGGCTGCGGAGTTGTGTAGTTGCTTTTTTTGCTGCCTTAGGTCGCCTCGGCCTCAGGTCCCTGCCCCCGGCACGGGTCACACCCACACCTCACCCCTCCGGCCCAAGGGTTCCCAAATCCACGTGCATGAGACTTAATTCAAGACCTGCAATAATGAGAGGTGTCTTGGTAAAAAATAATATTTAAAGAGGAAAAAAAGGAAAGCTGCCTTTTTAGGCCAATTTGAAATCCAGATTCCAGAGTCTGATGTCGCAAAGCCCCGTTGGGCAGGACTGAAAGAAAAGGCACCGATTATTGCCGTCATTTGTATAGTCCTTTTCAAACTGCATTCGGCTTTGGCACATGTCCCGTGGTGAGGTTGCAGCTAAGTCTGGCCTGTACCGAGTTAAGGAGCAGGATGAAGCCCTCCTGTGGCGCACTGAGCACCCCAAAACCGGCCCTCCTGCCTCTCGTGCCCATCAGCTGTGCCCAGACCATGCTGTCTCCTCCAGGATACCCAGAGAGGTGTCTGATAGCCCCTGGCACCCATCCAGCCAGCCCCATGCACTTTTTACAATACGTCTCGTTAGAATGGAAACCTACTGGTCAGGGTGAAGCCCATGTTGCCAGGATATCCGTACTCTGGGCCCTTCCAGGCCAGCGCTCAGAGTCCCAGGTCTCATGGGAATTCTTAGTCCTGAACTCCTTTTCTTGGAGAGGGGATGGCCAGGACAGAAACAGTGAGCAGGCATCTTTGGTGCACTGTCAGCATGTCTATGCCCACTCTGAATTTTGCTGGCCACAATGGTTTACACGAGAGAGAACCCTCAGGGGAGGGGAAGGCAGCGAGTCTGAGCAGAGGCATTTCTCTTTGCTGAGTAGTGGGCCAGACCCGTTGAGCAGGTGCTTTGCTTGACATGTGGGTGACTAATTGTGTGGTTAGAGTGGATTCTAATCAGCCTGAGGGAGAGCTATTGTAATCATCGGGGGAGGGCAGGAGTGGGTGCCAGCCGCCAGAGAGGGGGGCTCAGGTTGAGACTGGGGCCATCCTCCCTCTGCAACACCCTCTCCTGAGATAATCCACCCAATGCAAGGATGTCAGTTTTCTCACAGAAGGTCTTGTCTTTCTTTCCCTTTGGGGTTCAGGCCCCCAGCCCTTTCTGAGCTGGCAAGCCCCCCCTCAACTCCCGCTGGCAAACATGAGGTCATTGCTGTGCATAAGGCCCTGGATCAGGTGCTCGGGGGACACAGACACCCACTGCCCTGCCTTCCTGGTGGTGGCATCAATCCTTGAAGAAGCTGCTAAGAAATTGTCTGAAAATGGACTTGGGCATTTTCAAGAGCAAATCTCGGTGTTTCTTCTATCATACTGCCTGAGCCTGGAGAGCAGGTGGGAAGGACCTATGGGGAAAACTCAGATGGGGGTTTGGGGAGCAGCAGGTGAGGCCCTGGGCCAGCTCCTTGCCTCTCACTAAGTGCTGGCCAGCAGGGGAGCGGAGGGAGGGTGGGGGAACCAGTGCCCCAGAGAATGGCGACAGCGCCAATCCCCTCTCCCTTCCCCCTTCATTTTCCATTAATTGAGGCCCTTCTAATCCAATCATCTTCCCTCCCTGCCCTGCCTGGGAGGCCTGGGGCAGCTGCTGCCTCCATCTCACAAAGCTGATTATTGAAAAGGGCCTTGCACCCCGGGAAGCAGCCTCCTGCTGTGGCTGTGGGTCACTGGGAAGCATCCCTTGAGGTGCTGGACATCAAAGAAGCATGAAGGCCCTTGATGGGCTAAGACACTGAGAAGTGACTGGAGAAATGCTGGGAAATGAGCCCCACCAGGGCAGGGAGGCAGAGCAGAAGGCAGAGTTCTATTATTAGGACCTCTTTCATTCCTCTTAGGCGTCTGTGTGGGGGTGGGCAGGGAGGAAGCATAAGCATAACAGACATGCCCCACCCTCACGAAGAATTACGGCAAACTGCAGACCGTGCGGCAAACTGCAGACCGTGCTGGTCTCTTTGGAGGCCAGGTAACAGTTTTAGGTGCTGATGTGTAGGGTGTGATTTTAGGATTACCAGGCTTCTGACCTAATGAAGGTGGGGATTCCAGCAAGGCTATATTGTAGGATTCCTAAACAGTGGTCGCTGGACGAAGGGTCAAGGGTCATTTGAATAGCACTAGAGCTAAGTCGCTTAGTCTGTGCCAGAACTTAGACATCTTGGCACTCAGGTTCCAGCTCTGCCCAAACACTGAATGGGGACTTCCCATAAGGCAGCTGGCGAATGTCACCAAACACAACAGACTCTCCCAGATTGAAGGCGACTGAAGAGATTAAACAATGGCTGATCCTGGGTTGGATTCCAGATTGGGGTGGGGCTAGGGCACTATAAAGATATTTTGGAGATAACTGAGATCTGTTTCAAATGAATGTTTTATTAGATCATTTTATCTCCATGCTCAATTTCTTGTGCATGATGCTGGCTTTGTAGTTATGTAGAAAACTGTCCTTGTCCTTGGGAAAAATGCATGCTCAAACATTTAAGGATGACATATCATGATTCAAATAGCTACACACCCACAGTGTGGGTGTCTGTGTAGAGAGAGAAAGCAAAGATGGCACAATGTTAACAACTGGTGAATCTAGGTAAAGGATATTAAGGTTCCCTGTATTCTTCTTCCAACTTTTATGTAGGTTTGGAATGTTTCAGTATATAATACTGGAAGAAAGAACCCAGTGGGGAATTTCTCAGGAAAGGGCTTAGTTTTTCAAACACTGCGGTGGTGTTGGTCTGATTAGGCAACACAGCCTTATCTGTCTGTCGTTGCCACGCAGCTGGGCTGTGGCCTTTCGGAAGTCATCCTGCCATTGGGTCCATCTTGTCTCTCCCGTCCCCATCCTTGTCACCGCAGACGTGCACCCCCCCCGCGAGGCCACAGAGCCCTTCCGAAGGCTTCCCAGGATGACCAGGGAGCAGGCGAATTCCCCCTCCCGTCTTCCATCCTGACTGTGATTATATCATGGCCCCACTCTCTGCTCTCTTATCACAAGCGGGGAAGCAGCTGGTGGAGGGCCAGATAGATACCTGGCAGTTGCTCCTATCACCTCGGAATCTTGTCTTGGTCAGTCAGGCTGCTGTGACAAATACCACAGATGGGGTGACCTAACGAGCAGACATTTACGCCTCAGAGCAGACATTTACGCCTCACAGTTCTGGAGGCTGGGCAGTCCACGGTAGAAGTGCCGGCCCATTCGGCTCCTGGTGAGCACCCGCTTCCTGGCCGTCAGACCACTGCCTTCTTGCTGTGTCCTCGCTGGGCAGAGAGAGCACCGTGTCCCTGCCCCCGCTTGTAAGGACACTGATCCTGTCACAGAGACCCGCCTGCCCGCCCCCATCTAACTCTAATCACCTCCCAAAGGTTTCCCTTTGGGGTCAGGGCTTCAGCATATGGATTGTGGGGATGGGGGTGGGCAGACACAAACATTCACCCTGTAGCAGAGCTAGGGATTTGCTGGGGGTGGGGAGGGACTGGAAACACTCCAAATGCCCATTAATTAGGACACTGGAATAATTAGCAAATTGGCAGAAATAAGAAAGGAAAGGCACGGAACACAAAACAGTAATGGTGTGTCCGAAGTAATTACAATGATGAACCTCAGTGGGACGGAAGATGATGCACAAGGCTGTGAACAGTCCAGTGTTCAGTAGTGCAAGAAGGTATTCTTTGTAAAGTCATTTAAGCACATAATTTCTTTTCATGTGAGAAAGAAGTCTGGGGGCTTTCCTGACAGCTAAACTTTGTTCTCTTTTAGAGATAAAGAATCTTGTTTGCACACAGAAAATTTAGCTGCCAGTGAGAATTTTCTATTTGGTGGGAAGTAATACATTTTTAAAGAACATATCTTAAGAAAAAAGCTGCCTAGCTTTGGAGAGTTAGAAATAAAAGCAGCTTCACTTTTAGACAGTTTCTTTTTTGTAGCCCTGCTCTTTCTCAGACAATCAGCCCAAACCATGGTGTAGGAGGGGCAAGACCAACTTAGACCCTTGGTGGGCGTGCTTCCTGAGAAATGCCAAATCCCTGGTGGCCAGAGCATTTCTGGAATAACGTGAGTCCGCCCACACTCGGCTCACTACTGTTGAGGACAGATGAATGGAACCGGATTGTTCGAGGGAGCTCAGAAGCCTCCTGCCAGGGGTCCATACACATGGGCGGCGGGTGCCTTGGTTGGTCTCCTGCCTGCTGCTCGGCCAGAACTGGAAAGGCAGCCCAGGCTGCTGCAGCACTCATTCCCTCCCTCCTCCCTGGGAGCTAGAAGCATCCATCATTTTTCTTCACAGTGGCTGAAAAATGGCTAATGAGATTAAGTGGTTCCAGAGGAAACCCAGTGTAAGAATCCAAGGAACTTGTTTATCCAATACTTAAGCCTCTGAATAGCCCAAGACTTGAAGTCACTTCACCTTTGGGCCTCAGTTTCTCCATCTCAAAATGAAGGATTGGAACTGAGATGTTCTCCACCATCTCTGAATTCTTGTCCGTGATTGCCTGCTTTCCAGTCATTAGCTCCTGCTTCGTAGCCTGGGGTGCGTATGCGTTTAGTATTTTCAGGTCAGAACTCCTTGCACACAGGGCCAACATGCTTGCCAGCCTGAGCTCCGCATGAGACAACCCTGGAATGTTCTCAGCAAGGCCCCAGTTCTGTGACCTTGGTGTTAGTACCGTTTCTCCTGGCCACATTCTTATTTGCTGAGGACCCCAAGTCTGAGCTCGGTTTCAAGACAGGACATACCTTCCCTCTGGGATATCCTGTGAAGACCAAGAAACCTCACTCCAGAGTC